TTAAGATTAAAAGGCTAAACCTGACATGAAATGCCATCCGTCTATAGAGATATCTCCCTACAGTCTACAGTATTTCTCTGTGGCCGTCAGTATTGTGACGTGTGCCAGGTAGAGATCTGCGCAGGACTAAATTTTGAATCAATATTAAATATTAAGCGACCGTTACAATATCACAATAAGTAACCCCAAAAAAAAAAAAAACAGCGCAATCACTACCAGACTGCTGTTGTGTTTGCGATAAGGAGGGACGAGGCTAAATTCAGCTTCTTATTCGCAGCTTCTTATTGACTCTATCTGGTCCACCTTAAAAACCGTGATGCTTCTGTTTTTTTAGCTTCGCGCTCAAGAAAACACGCATAAGTTTTAATCTAAGCAAGAGCTTATTATGCGGTCCTGTCGCCATCTTGTGGATAGACAACGTTAACCGTCTTTGGTCTACTACACTATGGCAGGCTAATGGACGCCGACGAGCTCTCTCAGTAATTGTAAATATTTTTAAAATAGGCACTGTTTTTATAAATAAACTGCATAGTTGCAATCTAAACAACTACATTCTTGAGTAAAAAAGCCTCAAAAGTACATTTTGTTGTCTAACAACAGGAATATTTGTCAAACTGTAGTGTCTCCCAGCTTGTTGCTGGCTTTATGTGGGTGGAGTAATACACAGTGAAGGGTGAAGAGGCCTTTGTGTGATGTTACTGGCAAAATATTGCACAGCTATCAGCCAATCAGATTCAAGAACCAGACAGAACTGTTGTATAGATAAATATATATAACACACACACACACACACACACACACGTCAAAACAAGCTTTTATTTCGGATGCCATCAATCTTTGCACAGTACTAATTCGTTATTGAACTGTTTTCTTGGGGTGTGCAGCTGAAATCACAGTTCATTTCTTCACCTGATATTTGCGAGGCCCAACAGCAGCCATCCAGATGCCCATACTCACATCCTCTCCCTGAAACACACACACACATTTACATGCTGAAAACCCTGTCCAGAGCATACACACACACACACACACACACACACACACACACATCATCATCATCATCATCATCATCATCAGAATGAATGAATGAGCTCTTTCAGCAGCAGTTCTCCTGCTTCAGTGCATTTATAATATTGATAAATGGATTACAGACTCCACGTCCAGAACAAATGAGATCTTCAGAGCGAGGGAAATCATTACAGATGAATCTGCAGGCATTGATTTGATCTTTGGAAATCTTTGACAGAGAAAACAGAAGATGAGTTCAAACCATTAGTCTACTGGAGGGTAACATCTTCTCTTATAAAGCGTCTGCTGATGGAGTCATTGTACATCTCACTTTATAGGGATTTTTATCTTAATATGATGATAATATGCAGATGCATGCTGGATCTTTCAGGTGAACAATACTATTAATCAACACATCATATGCATCTTTCCATTATTTTCCACATGATGTTTAATTTAGAAACACATTTTTTAACATGATAATTTAATAACTCGGGCGATGCAGTGGCGCAGTAAGTAGTGCTGTCGCCTCACAGGAAGAAGGTCCCTGGTTCGAGCCTCGGCTCAGTTGGTGTTTCTGTGTGGAGTTTGCATGTTCTTCCTGCCTTCGCGTGGGTTTCCTCTGGGTGCTCCGGTTTCGCCCACAGTCCAAAGACATGCGGTACAGGTGAATTGGGTAGACTAAATTGTCTGTAGTGTATGAGTGTGTGTGTGTGAATGTGTATGTTTCCCAGAGATGGGTTGCAGCTGGAAGGGCATCCGCTGCGTGAAAAATGTGCTGGATAAATTGGCAGTTCATTCCGCTGTGTCGATCGCAAATTAATAAAGGGACTAAGCCGACAAGAAAATGAATGAATGAATTTAATAACTCATTTCTTTATTTTTTATTTATTATTTTTTACGGGTTTTCACCTTTATTTGAAGAGGACAGTGGAGATTTTTACAGACAGGAAATGTGGGGAGCAGAGATAGGGGAAGGATCGGCAAAGGACCTTGAGCTGGGAATCGAACTCAGGTCGCCGTGAGCACCTTGGTGCTATGTGTCGACGCACTAACTACTAGGCGCCGACAATAACTAATTTCTAATAACTGACTTCTTTTATTTGTGCCATGATGACAGTAAATAATATTTGACTAGATGTGCAAAACTGCATTTTTCATCTTAAAAGTGTTGCCAAACTTCAACATATGATATCAATGTCTGATGCGGAAAAGCTTATTCATGCTTTCATGACCCCTCGATTAGATTATTGGGTCCCACTTTGTATTAAGTGGCCTTAACTAATATATACTTACACAGGAATTAATAGTTTGTTACAATGTACTTGTTGTGTAAATACATGTATTTACTGTGTACTTATGCTTGATTAAATACATGCATGTATTACAGGTTTCTCTCAAAGTGTTTTTTTTTTCTTCACTTTCGTCGATTGGTGAAGTTTGTTCCTCCACTGTCGCCACTGGCTTGCTTGGTTTGAGACTTGTGGAGCTGCGCATTGATGGATTTGCTCTTCAGTGTTTAGACTTACACCAGTGAAAATTAAACCCCACTAAACTAAAGTAAACTGAACTTAAACACTGAAAACGGAACTGACACTGTTTCAATTCACTATGATATTCTATGTGAAGCTGCTTTGACACAATCCACATTGTAAAAGTGCTAGAGAAATAAAGAGGAATTAAATTGAATATTTTTCAAAATACTAGTATTCAGCTTAAAGTGACATTTAAAAGGCTTAACCCTTAAAGACCTAGAGGTATTTTGTGGGCACCTAATGGGACTATATTATTATTATTATTATTTTAAAGCAGTTTTACTGGTATTTTAGCAGTCAGCCTCAAGTGTCATATATTATTTTAAACAGGAGAACCGGAAGCTTTAATCTGTATCATTTAAAGGTCCAGTCTAAAACCTTTTTTTGGTCCAAAAACATATGAACAGACAGAAAATATTTCAGAAATTTAAGAAAAACGTTTTTTTAAAAAGTGGCATTTTCTAGTTATTACAAACAAAACCTCATGAAGTTTTTTTTTTTTCTTTAGAAATACATGCTATGATGTTTTATACTTCCAAAATAAACTTTGTCTACATCCACAATTCCCTGAGCAAGTTATGGTAATTTATTTCAATGTTATTCTAAGGCGTTTTTCAGTGGGAAAAAACTAGTGCATTTATTTACTGACAATGTATTTGCCCAAAAGTTCTGGGAATGAACTAAATAGAAAGATTGTTACAAAATAACAGAACACTGAAGCAAGTTTGACTTTTTCCAAATAATATATTTTCAGTTACCATAAACAAAACCACTTACAATGAACAAATAAAAAATAAGAAAATAAGCAATAATGCGTCAAAGTCCAAATAAACATGTTGCAAATCCTCAGTAAAAAAATTGATATAAATATTTACTCTATTATAAATAGTTGCATAACTAAACTAGACTCAATATGGACCATCCTTAGGTTTTACGTGCCAGAATATGGTGTTGACCCTGCTGCTCCTCAACTTATGCGTTGCAGACAAACCACCGCACCGTCATTTGTGTCCTCTGAAAACAGCAAAACCAGCACTTTGTCTTTGCTGTGTCAATGTTTTGTCATGTTTTTGTGCTGTTCTGCATGCAAAAGTACTTATTAAGAGGATTATTTCATGCATTGCAAAACTTTTTTTGCGTTTTATTTAGCTGTGCGTAAATGTACAGTCTATTTCTCATTTCGGGTTGTTCAAATTGCTGATTGCTGGTCCACAAAGCGAAACCTATGCTGATTGGTTGAGAGAGAGCGAGTTTAAACCAATCTGGGGATGGAGGAGGGACAATGCATCAATGCATCATGTCTGGTTTGTCTGGAGACACAGTGACGAGCGTTCCTTTGTCAAATCAGCGTTGTCAAAATGTGATGACATAACCACACTGATTCCAGAGCCTCCGGAAAGCTGAGACTCTCTTCTTTATGCCAATCTTTGAATTGTACAGATCGGATTAGCGGATCAAAAGTTATTAAACATTTAGGAACAATACTTATTTTTCGCCGCGAACGGCTGTTTCGGTCTTTAAGGCTTAACTAGGTTAATTAGGCAAGTTAATGGACAACAGTGGTTTATTCTATAGCCAACAGACAAAAAAATGAAGAAGGCTACTAACAATGACCTTAAAAAATACTTATGTTGGCACAATAACCTAGTGGTTAGCCCGCCGACATTTGGGACAGTAGCACATCAGGGCATCCTGAGTTCGAATCCCGGCTCAAGGACATTTCCCTACCGTACCCCCATCTCTCTTTTTCTTTCCAACTTCGCTTCCTGTCTTAATACTGTCCAATCTAATAAAGGCAAAAATGTCAAAAATAAATCTTAAAATTTTTTTTTAATTAATTAATTACATTTTTTAAATATATATATATATATATATATATATATATATATATATATTGATAAAAATAGTTGAAAAATAATCAATAATAAATTATATATGATATATAAAATAAAAACAGTTTTTATTCCAGCAAAACTAAAAGAAATAACTTTAAAAATAGGGAATATTGTGAAAATGCCCTTGCTCTGTTAAACATCACTTTGGAAAAAAAAAGAAAAGAAAAATCCCAGAAAACTGAGTCTTCGCCTGTATTATGACATGTGTAAGATGCTTGCAGATGTACCTGGTAGGCTTTGAGGTGTTGAGCGTTGCTGGCGAGCCACTGCACCAGATCTCTGGACACCACATATCCAGATCCACAGGCAAACGCTGGATACGCAGGACTGGCGTACTCCAACTCCTGCCACTTACCAACACGATCCACAGCCCAGTTCTGACGGAAGCTGAACACAATATTAGTCAAAAATAAGAGACAAGCGAACACACAAAGCAGTTTGTACAACAGCAAGCCCACTTCTGAATGGCTGACGTAAAACAAAACAGACTTTGGACTAAGTCCTGACCTCTATATATAAAGAGACAACTTGATGTTTCTCTGCATTTAGTTGGAGTTTGAGTAAAATGGTAATATTGTGTAGTAATGACTGATTATAGTGAACTCACTTTCCCCACCACAGGCTGGTGTGTGTGAGGCGTCTGCGCTGCATCTTCATCAGGACGGCATCTACATCGATAAAGCAGTCATCATCAGTCTTGAGCAGCAGGCTGAAGTCAGCGTTCTCCACAGACCTGAAACCAAGAGCAATCCCAAACCCTGAAGCTGCTTCCACTCAAGAACAGACACAATATTGATTACAGGAGTCTATAAAGACAACAGAGACCATCACAAACCCTGTTTACAAGGAGGAAATCACAGATACTACAGTAAAAGTACACTCACTAGCTACGTTTCCATCCACCTATTTTCATACGCATTTTGGAGATGCGCATACAAAAAAATCGATTGATGGAAACGGCAAGATGTGCACATATTTAAAAAATGTGCATAAAAAAACATGCGCATATCTGAGTAGGATAAACTTTTTATTTAATAAGGATGCGCATAAACTACGATGGAAACACTTTTACCGAACAAATTTCCGTATGCACATTAAAGAGGTCATGTGATTTTGTTATAATAACAAACCAGCAGGCTGAGCACACTGTAAACCATCTGAACTGTTGTTTTGGTCATTCTAAAACGCCTTACCGTTTCAGTATTAGTGTTATTATATTATTAATTAGCGACAGAAATAAGAAAGTCTGTGCTCTGCATCTTATGCCTTTATGCGTTCACTGCGTGTCAGGATTGCCTTCTGAGACGCAAATAATTTATTAGACGAAGAAAAGATTGATGCAGCTTCTCCTACTGCAGCAAATGCAGTTTTTACTGTTGATATTTGGTGCCAGTTAATCAAGAAGAGACGATTTTGTTCGATTTAACTTGTTGGATGGAAACGATGCTTTATTCGCACGTCTTTTATGCGATATTACAGTTTTGCGCAAAAAGTTAATTCGCATTTTTAGATGGAAACATAGCTAGTGCCTGACAGACAGTATCAGGAAATGTCATTAATTGAATATTTCATTAGTAAATATACATTCATTTTTTAAAGTTCCTAATTACTTAAAAAAATACATTATTAATAATAATTATAAAATTTAAAATAGAATATAAAAAAAAAGCTTGACAAATATTGCAGCTGTTGCACAAGATAATGTACTTTTGAGTTTTTTTTAGGCGAGAATGTCGTTGTTTAGATTGCAACTATGCAGTTTATTTATAAGGATAGTGCTTATTTTAAATATTCATAAGTTCAGAGATTCAGCACGTCGGCAGCCATCAGCCTGTCATACTAAGAAAAGCAAAGAGTCTCTCTCTGTTGTACGCTGTAGTGCTGTATTTATACCATAGCAATCTGCTAGTGTTTGCTTTGCTTTGACTTTTTGGGGTTAATTATTGTGATATGCCAATTGCAACAGAGAAATACTGGGAAATCTCTGTAGATAATGGCATTTCATGCAGTTCAGCCTTATAATCAAAAAATGTGAGCAAAATCAGCAGTTTTGTCATCACTTTAGGCATTACGCTAGAGAATCATTCAAACACTAGCTCTAAAGTGATGTTGTTGAATGAGCAACGGCTTCTGCTGCCCTGACGTCAGCTGCAGATGTGAATGAATGGCGGAAGGAAGTAGTTCCTCGTACAAAAAAAATTTGAGACACTTAGTGTTTGATTTTCTTATATATATATATATATATATATATATATATATACACATACACATACATACATACATACATACATACATACATACATACATACATACAAACATACATACAAACATACATACACACACGCACGCACGCACGCCTGCACGCACACACACACACATACACACACAATTATGCTGTTGAACTGTTGTATAAACGCAATATCACGCTCAAAGCAGTGCAATATGGCTGTATATCAGCACTGGCATACCCGTCAACCCTCCCGTTTTTCCCGGGATTCTCCCGTATTTGACAGTTCTATCCTGCTATCATCCCGTATAGGTATTTTTCCGTATTTCTCCTGTATTTTCAGTCTTTCTTTGAACAGCCAAGCCTAACTATATGCAACCCATACCGCCGAACCACCAGGGGTCGCCCCTTGCTCTTAAACGTGAGTCTGTTCTGTGCTTTCGCTTTGTTTAAGATTGAAAACATGAAAACACTTATAAGTAAGTATTAAAAACGGCACGATTCCATTTCCTTTGGATTACAGGTGCCATCACCCATCCTATTCAATCCTCAAAACAGTCATATAAGGGTGCGTGACTGTCAGCTGATGTGCTCCATAGTGATAAACAGACGCTGTTTCCCAAACAGATTCTATACACGCGAAGCGTAAGCGAAAGTCTGGCTTTTGGGTGCGTGTTTAAACAGACACATGCACATAATTAATAATAATAATAACATATAAAAATGTCGATCTTGGTGTTTTTTTTTTTTTTTTCAAACACAACTAATCTTGTCTTAAATGAGCATGAAACGTTAGGAAAGCAGTCGAATGCTTCCATTATAACGTTAGACGTGTGCATTTTTAAAGTGACACCTCGGATTTAATGTAATAAAAAAAGCGCACGCTCTGTGATTTGTCAGCTTGGAAGCGCTAACGAGTGTGGGCGGGGCCGAGAGCCGCGTGAGTCCGTTGGAGCGACTGTTTACAAGTGTTGATTGTTCACAAGGAGCCGGGTGGACTGTTGTTTTGTGTTTACCTTATGGTTAAAGTTCCCACCTCAAATCGAGCGAGTTTGAACCACTTTCACATTAAGGAAAACAAAACACCAGCGAAGAAACTCGACACAGAGGAACACTTACTAGTAGGGATGTAACGGTATCAGAATTTCACGGTACGGTAATACCTCGGTATGAATGTCACGGTACGGTATTTATTGAATCATTTACAGGAAAAAACAAAACTTATGGAAATACTCCAAAAAAGTGCCAAAAGTGTCAATGACATACAAATTAGCCATCTATCTGTAAGCTTTGAAACAGGAACTTCAATTTTAATAACAAAAAATTATTAAACCATGTAAAAAAATAAAGTTTCAATTTAGTATTGTTGAAAACTCATCACATTCAACATTTAATCACACTCAGCCCATCTACACAGATGAGAGCTCTGCTAGTCGGACTTCTCATCAAGCATCTCCCGCTGGATCTAATCTCACTATATTTATTAAACGGGATATTTCATTTATCTTGTTGTCTTTATCTAACGACATATTCCCTGACTTTGGGCATTGGAATCTATTACTTGTTCTCGTGTAACGTGTTTTGGCTGAGCGCAAAGATAAGTTAATGATTAATGTAACCACGTACATTCTGTATATTGACTGATCGCTTGCCTTTATTTCCTATAATGTATAAACTTATTGTATGTTATACTTTTAAAATGGCCATTATCAATTCTTAAAGCTGATACTCAGCAAAAGAGAGGCTGTGTTTCGTATTTTCACTGAAATTGAAAGGAGGCAGTTGTTATCGGCTCCGTTTTGTTATAAATATCCACACAGTGAAGATGACCTGATGTTCCTTAAATCATGTTTACATTTTATTGTTGAGAAAGTGAAACAACGAAGCCAGGGTGATGTGAATGAAGTTATAAAGTACACTGTTCCCTTTGAAGATTTACCCGTGTCCTCGGTATAATCTGCTTTTCCATATCAAACTGAGAAGAAGAGACTGCAGCCTTGATCAAACTTGCGAAGTCTGAACTTACACGGAGATAATGCAGGACTGAACTGTGCGTGTAAAGCAGGTCGCACACCAGAAGCGACGCTCGGCAGCACGCCGCGCAGCGCCACGCAGCGCCACGTATTTTAGAATTCTAATCATAGGTTTCTATCAGGATACACACACCGGCGCCGCAAGTCGGCGGCTGTCGGCGGCTGTCGGCGGCGCCCGGCGACGGCTCAGGACGCAGTTCATTTTTCAGCCGCGCCACAGAGCGCCATCTGATTAGTTTCATGTTAAATATCATTCGAATGTGCGCGTCTGGTGTGCGATACTTTAAACTGTCATGTACGCGCCGTGTCGCGGCGCCGAGCGGCGCTTCTGGTGTGCGACCTGCTTTAGAGTTTTCCAGCTCTTTTTCATCCCCGCTTCTAGCAGCACACTCCATTTCCGCATTACTGGATCTGTAGCAACAACAGACCGCAAGGGATGATGGTCAAGCATGGGCTGAAGGGAATTGTAGTTTTCGCTACCTCCTGTTCGCTTCATTCGCCTGAGCAAATTTTCTCAGAAGACCTATAGTTTTACAGAGTCATGCGACTTCGGTAATATCGAAAAAAATTAATATTGCGGTATGACGGTATTTACAATACCGTTACATCCCTACTTACTAGCATTTCGGAAGTGTCATTGCAGAGCGACAGAAAAAGCGTGCAGAAGTATGAATGCACAGCTACCTGTGCTGCATGCGCCGTGGGTCACGCCGATCACTTGACGCGGAAGTATAAACCAGGCTTAAGGCACTCGACCTGCAACGCACGCCTCCCACTAGTGCCGATATACAGCCATATCTATATATAAGATATAAATGAGTAGCTAATTTGCAAAGTAGTTCACAAAAATCTGCACAAAATGCACATGGAGAGCGAGGTCTGAGAGGTGATCGGGTGCCGCACTGACCATTTATAAAACTGCAGCAGTTTTGACGGCACGTTCCTGTAAGTGTCCACCACGTCCACAAACACCATGTCTCCGTGCCTGAGACTCTCCTCCTGCAGGGCTTCGTCCTCCCCTTTTAGCTGCGCCTCGCGGATTTTCTGTCGTCCTGAACGTCCACGCAGCATCTCAGACAACACCTCCACATCTGAAACACAGACAAATACCATCAAACTACTGGATGGATGTGCAAACCCTTCAGAACGGGCACAGATGAATGAATATGATGATATGCCATTGAATATGATGGTTAAATTAAAGGTCCTGTGAAGTGCTTTGACATTTACATTTTTATTGGATGTGAAACATAGACAGCTCCTCCCTTTTTTTAAGAAACAGCCAATGGCATTTTGTTTTTATCACAGCTCTGCCAGTGAGAGTGGTTGAGCTCAATCAAATATGACAATAGCATCAGTAAGGGGGCGGGAAATGTTTGATACTAGACAGCATTTGATTGGTCAGAAGATTTAATGAGAAACTAAAGTACTGTATAAGGTCATATCATGTGTTGGAAGAAGTGACAATTCTTTAGTTGTTTTTATCAGGTTAATATCTTAGAAATATGAATTTTGCCGTTTTGTTTTGGAGCACACTAGATTACAGATTTTGAACGGTAGTCCACCTGATTAATTTCCATTTTATCAGTGGAAAGCTGCCAGTGATCAAGATGTTCTGCTACGTCAGGATGAAATCTGAAATCCTTCAATCATCAACCATGAAAAAAGCCGGATACAAACCCTGCATAATTCCTCTCAACCTACCGTACACTGTAAAGGTAAATCCTCCAGCTAAGCCCGGGAAGCCCAAAGCATTTCTGTGAGGCAACGTTCCCTCCTCAATCTGAGGAAAAACAGACTATTATCAGCAGAAACTCACCCATGCACTAAAAACACACATTTAAAAATAAATGTCTAAATGTGAAAGATTAATTATATTATATTAGAACATTATTGCTTTTTATTATAGCAAGAATTATTTATTATACAGAATTATTTATTACTATTTTATTAAAGAATTCTGTATACAATAAAATTTTTCTAAAAATACAGGATTTGCACCTTTGCACTTTTGTCTGAATTATTGCTTCATATCTAGTTTTTAATCTTGAAAGTATTTTTTTTCTCAGAGTAAAATTGACTCAGAACTAAGTATACATCTCGCAGGTAACTTTAAAATAAATTTAAAAAAAAATCTAAATTAAGTTAAAAATTTTGCAATTCCTTTTTATTCTGACGTTAGGAATGATGAATTTACATTTAACAATTAAAATCTTTCAGAACTCCAAGTTTACAGCTTGAATTCTGACTTGTTTTTAGTACTAAGAGTTTCCATCTTGCAATTACAACTTATTTAATAAGTGAAAAAAATAAAAACTTTTTTCAGAATTTATTTTACATCTTACAATTCCTTTTTTTAAATGATGATTTTAAGAATTAGTTTACATCTTGCAAATCAGGGAAGATATATATATATATATATAAATAACATTTTTCATCATGCAATTCTGACATTTTATTTCAAAATGCTGAATTTGCTTTGAATTTTTATTTCTCTTATTTTAAACCAAATTTTGTTTAAAAATCATTTAAACCTCAGAATTCTGTCCTTTATTTTTTTAAATAATGAGTTTGCATCTCGCAATTCAAATTTTCAATAAAGACTTTTTTTAAGCACTAAAACCTTAAGCTTTAGGATTTCCAAGTTTGCACCTTGATTTTTTTTACACCTAAGAGTTTACATCTGACAATTCTAAACACAGATTTTTTTTTCTTTGCGACTGTGAGTTTGTAACTCCTAGGCCCAATTCCTTAGCCCTTCCCCTTACCCCTGGTTATGCATGTTCACGTGAAGGGGTAGTGGTGTCCCAATTCTCTTTATCTTAAAGACGTATGGCTAAGGGGAGGGGTAGATAGCCCTTGAAACAGAGATTTTTAAGGACCACACTCGAATTCAAGGGGAAAGAAAATTTCTCAAAATACACCATCTACAATGGCAGCACGGCAGCACACGGAAGACAGAAGATGCACAAATTAGTATTTTTTTGTCATTATTACGAATTTTTACAACAAACATGCTTGTTTTAATACATCAATAACCGTGTGATTTACAGTCATGTTTAAAAAAAACACAAAAACAAAACTGTTAAATTTCGCTATCTATAATCGCTAATAAGAACTTCTGTATTGTAATCTCGCAACATACTTTCACATCCAACACTGAAATCTTCTGTCAGAAAAGTCTAGTGGCTGGGAATGAGCTTTTTACAGTGTGTGCTATAATGCTAATGTTGTTTTCATGTGTTAACAAGGTGTAAACACACAGTACAGTTACGATTTTATTCACAGATTAGATCGATATGATAACATGATATATGCTTTCAGTGATTTCCTAAAGATAAAAACCAAAAAATAGCACCACTGGAATCACTACAGCAGTTGCTATCATCTGATCTCATATGAAGCAAGAGCTCACGATGACATATGATGAGGTGTGCAGGTGCTGTAGCGCTGTCCCAATTCTCAGGGGTAAATTTTGAAGCCCTTCCCCTTCACACTCTATTCCAAGGGTCAATAGGAAGGGGAAGAGGTACAAAAATAGAATTGGGATTGGACCTACTAATGCATCTCCTCATTCTCATCTAAAACACAAAAAAGCCGATTGTCTGACCGATCTGAAGTGGAGAACTCCTCCCCCGTTATTGAGCCGCAGTGCTGACGTGTTGACAGACATCAGAGCAGTGGAGTCCTCAGCTTCCCAGAGCAGAGATCCCTCAAACCCCTGCAGAAGAACAACAGCTCAAATAATCAGCATAACTTCATATAGCAGCATTCAGAAAGATAAAGAAGAAAAGTACATCGCACAATTCTGTTTGTGTTAATAATTCAGTTTACTTCACTTTAATTAGGACTTTAAGAATTCAGAGTGTACAATTAGCAATTCAGAGTGCTTTGAAAAGGGTTAGCTTAGATGACACAACTCTATTATGATTTATTATGACACATCTCGCAATTCTGTTGTTTTCTTAGTAATTCTGTTTACATTTTGCAATGGACTTTTTCCAGAAAAGAAGGTCGCTGGTTCAAGCCCCGGCTGGGTCAGTTGGCATTTCTGTGTGGAGTTTGCATGTTCTCCCCGTGTCTGCGTGGGTTTCTTCCAGGTGCTCCGGTTTCCCCCACAGTCCAAACACATGCGCTATAGGGGAATTGATGAACTAAATTGGTCAGTGTACGAGTGTGAATGAGAGTGTATGGGTGTTTCCCAGTGATGGGTTGCAGCTGGAAGGGCATTTGCTGTGTAAAACATAAGCTGGACCAGTTAACTTCATTTGCACACTGTTTTAATGCTAACAACTCTGCCTTTGTCTTCGCTGATGCTTTCATGCTAAAGAAAAACTTTTGTTGATCAACTCATCTGGTCTGTTGCTGGGCAGGTTTCTAATACCTATATGCCAGTTATCATGATGTTGTCATCTACTCTGCAGACTTCCATGCTGATGAGATCAGGCCTGAAAAGGCAATTTATCATGCTGACTCCAATACTGAATTTGCATGCTTTGTTCAGCCATCTCCCCTCCTCCTAACAGGACAATATAGACAGGACATCTTTGTCTAAATTCAGACTTGTGATGAAACTCGCAGACAGCAGACCTCCAGTACGCTTCTGCAGACACATGGACTTCTTGAAGACGCTGTATGACTGCAGATTAAGGCCGTACTCACACTAGGTACAGTTGCCTCGAACCGGGCCAAAGCACGCTTGTCCCCCCTCCGGTCTCCCCCGACGGCCCTGGCTCGCACCACAAACAGGCCTCGGCACGCTTACATCATCGCTGCTGCGCTGTTCAGTGAGAAGCGCTCTCTCACTCAGCAGCACAGTGGAGATTTCTCTAGTTATATCGTTTCAGTCGTTTGACATGGTCAAATTTTGCCACACAGTCCTTAGGGATGCGGTGACACGCAGTCAGATATTTCGCCGAACAGATCCGCCACTTTTGGCGCTCATAAACAATCATAAAGCTCTCGTGCTGCAGGAATGAGGAGGTCTGCTGAAGGTGCAGCTGTCGTGCTGTGAGGGGTTTGCGTCTTTAATAAACTACGGCAGTTTGCGTTCACTGAACAGTAATTAATAAATCCATATGAAACAGCCCTGTAAAAGTCACGTCTCGCTTTCAGTTTCGGGCTTTAGGGCGTTTTACACTCACACACAAGCGTACCGCGCCAAAGCCCAAGTCAACCGGGCTCAGGCACACCTCTTCCAACCGGGCTAGGGCCGGCCAAGTGAACTGTGCTTGAGCCCGATTCAGCGCACTCACACTTCTCAAACGATCCAGGAAACGGGCCTAGGCACAGTACGGATGGCATAGTGTGAGTAGGCCCTAACAAACACGTCTCAATAAAAGAGTCTTCTGGACTGGGTTCTCTTTTCTTCAATCGTTTATTCTTTTTCAACACAGGCGACAGTGCTAACCACTGCGCCACCTCTCTAGCAATTCTATTTTTGTTAATAATTCAATTTACTCTGAGACTTTTTTCTAAACGGTTAGTTGACATTGAAGGATTCGGATATATCAGATCATACCTTCCAATCCATCTCAGCATGAATCAGCATTTATCCTTTTCATCATCTTGTTTCTCATTATTTTTATTAAATATAATTATTTGATTTTTTGAATGAGTATTTAACTTTGAATTGATTTTAATTAATGAAAAAGTTAACACACTGCTTAATATAAGAATGTTCAGTGCATTGGCCTGTCTCTTTATAACTGTTTTCAGGAGCCACCAAACAGTCAGAGGTCACGGAGACCTTGAGAGGAACTGAGGGCTGAAAGCAACTGTTTCTATTGTTATTTCTATGAGTTAATACTATATAAAATGTTTAAAATTGATTTCTGTTTTTACCGTTAATTATTTTAAAGTGATTCTACTTTTTATTCAAAATAGACTTTGTGTAGTAAGAATATAACTGCCTGAATGTAGATTATAACGGTTTTTAACCAGTTTTGATAAAGACAGCTGACAGTTCACTCAGCCTTGGATAAGAAACAGATAGTACTTTAAGTGAGTGTGTTTTATTTGATTGTTGATCCGTTTCACAGGTCTGGAGTCAGCTCTAATCAATCTAAGGGATGTCTGACGTTTATGTTTAGATAATGTTCAGAATTGTACGCACGAACCCCACATGGAAATGTTCCTAGTCTATCTGTGTTTTAACCAATCAGGTTAGAAGAACTGTATGTGTGACGCAGTTAATGACGTTATGTGAGAGTATAATTGTTATTGATTGGTGATTGTAAGCAGAGCGGCCTAGGAACTCATTGCGAGTGTTGAAGCTGGCTTCTGCTGATGTAACTGCAAAATATCTTCAGTAAACTTGATTTATTTATTTAAATCTCTGACTCCGGCTCTTCTTCATCTACCAGACTGGTCATTCTGTCAACCCGGGCTCATTGTGGACATGTAGCCCCGCGGACGTTTCTGCGGACCGCGACATATGTCCCGGGGAGGTACGTATTCAAGCGTTTTTTGTTTTCGCGGATCCGCGAGCGGCTCTTCCTCCTCCTTCCCTAAACCCGTGTGACGGTTTGCAAAAGCCGTCCAGAATAAAAAAAAAAAAAAAAGCAAAAGCCCTCGTCTTCGATTTCGACCCCGTTTTCAGATCCCGCTGCGTTCTCGCCCTTATTTTTCGGATTACGTTTTTCATCTTACCTGATTTCTAAAACCGCTGTTCCCCGGACTCGATCCCGGTCATCGTCCCCGCCGCCGGCTCCTCCTCCGGGGCCTCCGCTACACCGGCGCAACGCTGTGAGCTAAGCGGACAAACTGGTTGCATCGGGAAAGCCCTCCACTCGGAGGCGAGCCGTCAGCCGGCGAGCGCGAAGAAGAGGAGCGGAGCGGCGCCAAACCGCCACGCAGCGTTCGCTCAAAAAAACTAAACGCGTCCGTACGTACCTCCGGCCACGTAAATCGCGGTCTCCAGAAACGTCCGCGGGGCTACGTTTCCAGAATGAGCTTGGGCTGCATTCTTTGAGTCAAACTGTAAACCATCCCTACAACATCTCACAGGTCGAGCTTTATGTTCATCTATTTTACGTTACAATTATGACACTCAGAATTATAAGTTTACCTCTTGCAGTTCTGTTTACCTTTTACAACATATTGCCAATACTGACTATAAGTTCACATCTCGCTTTTCATCCTCCAACATCACAATTTTGACTTGTTATTAATAGCAGTCAAACGGGCAGATGGTCCATCTTTGACTGCTAAAATGATTGCTTTGTACCCTGAAACAGATTACAAGAAGCTTTCTCTTCTAAAAGTCATATTTCATCTCCCATCATTTTGTATCTGATGCAAAGCGGTGTAATAACTGACAGAGCGTCATATTCTGCCTTAAATATTCATCTGATTTGATCATGTTCGTTCATCTCGGCTAGAAATGTTTCTTCTTTCATTTCACAAGCGAATACCATTTTCCTCAACTCAATATTCTGTGTCTAATGATATTCTCATGCAGGGCTTTACATTAACACCCGCCAAATGATGGAAGATTGTAGCTTTGGCGGGTTAGGCAGCCGCTCCAACTAGCCACTTTGGCAGGTTGTAAATAGTGTTTACATTGTAGTTTTCATAGGCCCCGTTTACACTAATGCGTTTTAGTTTGAAAGCAGGGTTCGACAATGAGGATGGCCCAATATGCGTGCAAATGGTATCTTAGAATCGAGGAGCAGCACAACTTACAAAAATAACTGTTCACGCAAGCAAAAGCAGGGGAATACCTTATGAGAGGATGATTACTCGTGCGCACAGGTGATGTGATGCGCGCGACTGTTAAAAAGTTTGCGTGCTCCCGTTTACTTGCTCGAAACAACTGTGTGTAGAGGAAGCGCAACTGGTGCGATCGGTTCCTTTGAAATAGACTAGACAAAAAGCGATGCTCGTGTAAGCAGCAAACCTTTTGTAAGCAGCAGCAGCAGTCACTGCTTTCATTTTAATTATGCTCAGGCACATGATCATCCTTTCATTATCACTTGTGGTATGTTTCACCTGCTTTCTTTTGCTTACAGTTATTTTGGTAATATAGTTTAAGCAACATCCTTTGCAATAATGTTGCTTTAAAGGGCCATGACACCCCCCTCTTTCGGTTAGTCTACTTCAGAATTTTTTCAAAAGATGCATGATTAATGGGCGGAGCTCCGCGAGCATCGGGCAGGAGTGGGCGTGGCCAGCAGGGGAGGAGGGGAGCAAATAACTGCTGTTGTCAGTTAGCTCACAAAATGAGACACAAAGAGGAGACGCATGAGTTTATAGTTTACAAAGTTAAAATGCAAAGAAATGAACAGTGATTTAATGCCCTGCTTCATTTGTTATTCGTAATTTCATATACAGACAACCACAATTTATATCATTATAAAGATGTGTGTTCATGTAAACACTATAAATGAGGACTTCTCCCTCAATCCCCGTATCCAGCAGACTCAGTGCAGCAGGTCTCCTGACCTGTCTATTTTACCCATTAGCCCTGCTGGTAATCTGGAGGATTTAGGCAAACACAGCAGCACGGCGATGTGTCTGAATGTGAACGAACTCCTGATAGCTTCCGCCATTCTCTAATTCTCAAGCTGCTCTCCCGACAAAAATGCTAGCAACACACACACAGCTTTGCTGTATGATCGGCCCTGACAAGATCGCGGGGGAAAACATGCAACAAACCCCGTGGATGATGGAAACAAACGCATATGAGCCTTCATGAACGGCTAAATACTGTGCCGTGGTTTCCGTGTCTCTCAGCTCGGGCTTGACTCTGGCAGGTCTGGCAGGTCTCATGAATAATTAAGCAGCCGGCTCTTCTCATAGGATAAGAAAACTCCGCTATGAATAATAATGAGAAACTGACGCGTCATCATTGCACTTGCAGTACTGCGCTACGTCGATTTTCATCCCGCCCCAAAAATCATTTTAAACCCGGAAGCTGAAATTAGCTGACAAAAGCTCAAAATTATCCAGTTTTCCCCACAATTAAAGCTGACAGGTGCTAACATTGTCTTAACTGATGCTCAACACACACACATCTGTTAATATAAAAAAAAAAGTTCTCTGGGGTGTCCTGAACCTTTAATATGAGATTAACTCTCCATTTATGTGTAGTAACCGCTGATCTGGGAACTTTAAGGCTGATTTATACTTCTGCGTCAAACACCGGCGTATGCTACGGCGCTGACGCATAGCCCTTCGCCGTGGCCATTGGCGTCGCTGACGTGCACCTTTCAAAAATTGTAACTACACGTCGCAACGACGCGTAGCGCAAGCTCTGTGATTGCTCGGCTTGGTAGCGCTGACGAGTCTGGGCGGGACCGAGAGCCGCGTGAATGGTGCGAGTCTGATGGAGTGATTGTTTACAAGTGTGGAGTCCCGTGAAGGAGCTCCGGAAGGAAAGTTTTGTTTTGTGTTTACCTCATAGTTAAAGTTGTTGCACGTCCGCCGGTTCCTGCCTCAAAATGAGCGAGTTTGAGCCACTTGTACATCCCGGAAGTGTTCAGGAAAAAAGCAGCGAAGAAACTCGACACAGAGGAACATTTACACCTCACTGCCAACTAGCGTTTCGCAAGTGTTAATGCAGACCAACAGAGACCGCGCACAGAAGTATAAATGCACAGCTACGCGCGTTGCATGCGCCGTGGGTCACGCCGGTCACTTGACGCAGAAGTATAAACCAGGCTTTAGCCAGGACAGATTACTGTGCATATTTTGGATACACGACAATAGATCTTTTTAAATGTTAATTTTTAAAAATAAGAAAAGTTTTGTCAAATAAAAGCGCATGTATGCAGCTATATAGTTGCATGTTTTGACGCTTTTAAAAGGTGTGGCTAAGAAACAATCTTTTTTTTTTGGTGCAGTCAGAGATAAATTTGGCAAATCCCTAATTTTGAGCCCTAAAAAAGTCATGTGAAATAAAAACCAATTGCAATGCGACACAACCCATTTGCTCATGCGCAGTGAGCAAGCTCACACACAACACACACAAACAGTGAAATGAATGAGGAGGCATGTGGACAACACAACATCTAAATCAAGTCATTTTAGCATGTCAAAGTCACATTTATTAATACAAAAGCAACAAAAGTGTGGCTAGTGAAAATGGCAAGTGGCTAGCAGTGGCGCAAAAAGGGGGTATGCAGTATATGAGGCGCATAGGGGCGCCACACATGGGGGGCGCCATTGTGCCAAAACTATTTTTGAAATTATCCTTACTAAAAGTTTCAAATAAAAAAAAATGTTTTGTTAAAAATGTTTTTTTGCATTTTGTATGAGTATAATATTGTATTTAAATAAATAAAAAAATTATACCATGAGAAAAATCAAAATCAACACAATAACATGCAGCCGCAGAGCCAAGTGTAAAGTGTTCATGTAAATTTAGATATTTTTTTTTACAATTTTTATCAAAATAAAACTGTCAAATCATACATACAGTACAGTTGAGGTCAAAAGTTATAAGATTAATCTGAATTTTTTCTTTATTTATTATTAATTTAATTATTTTGCCTAAATAAGAGGGATCACACAACATGTATGTTTATGTAAGTACAGACCTATTTCACAAACCGATATTTCAGATAAAATATTTGGATTAAAAATTCACCTATATAAATTAGCCTATATACTTGATTATAATGATTCTTAACCCTGTTAAAGTTGACACATGAACAAATTGTCTGAATATTCACATTTTTTGGAACTGAAATGTTTTTAATCCTTCTATCAAAATCCATTTTATACAATATACATGTTTTTATAAATTTATTATGTGTCATATTGATACATCAGGCCTTTTGGTAACTTTTTTTTGTTTAAAACTATTTTATTTAAGTTACAAAACCTGAACCCGCATACCTCTCAGTATATGTGTAGTTGCGCCCCTGGTGGCTAGTAATGTTGGAAATCTTCTAGCCACTGATGATCAAGAAAGTGAATGTAAAGCCCTGTTCTCATGTAGCAAGAAGATGTCTGACATTTGGGATACTGAACATCCAGCGGACTGTTAGCTCTCGATAAACTCCTTGAGTTTGACTGGATGTGAATGATCAACTCTTATTAATGTAGGAAGAAATACCTTTGGAAGGATGAACTGCTCCACGGGTTTGTAAAACATCCCATCAGCAGCAGTTCCTGGACTCACTGAGCTGAAGCGAGCGCTTATCACTGCCTCCTGCACACACACACAAACAAACAAACACATAAATACACAACATACACACACAGAGATACAATGTTGTACTTGGATACTGATGCATGTTTTCTTTTACTGTAAAGCGCTTTACTTTGTCTGTGAAAGGTGTATTATTAATAAATGCTACTCACTTACAAACAAACTTACACGTATGGACACAAACAGATATAAGTGTGCACACAGATGCAGACACAGACAACACACACACACATGCTCACAGATACACAAACACAGGTACACACATACACAACACTCACCCATTCAGGTACACAAAGATTTATGCACACAAACTCACAATGCACACACTCAGGTGTGCACACACAAAATCCATACAGAGGCAGACTTGCAACACACATGCATACTCACAAATACACAAACATGCACATACTTTACCTGACTAAAGTCTGGTCATCTATCTCAGTTGGAACAGGCACAAATAATAACTTGACTTCTAGTTGATCATTTAGGAAAGTGTCAGAAAGTAGATTGTTCCCTTGAATCATCTGTTGATCTGCATCCCAATCATCACAAATACTGCAGAAGACCTACTGGAACCCACATGGAGCCAAGATTCTCACAGAAATCAGTCACGTTTGGTGAAGGAATAATCATGGTTTGGGGTTACATTCAGTATGGGGGCGTGTGAGAGATCTGCAGAGTGGATGATCAACATCAACAGCCTGAGGTATCAAGACATCTGTGCTGCTCATTACATTACAAACCACAGGAGAGGGACAATTCTCCAGCAGGATAGCGCTCCTGCTCATACTTCAGCCTCCACATCAAAGCTCCTGAAAGCAAAGATGGTCAAGCTGCTCCAGGATTGGCCAGCCCAGTCATCAGACATGAACATTATTGAGCATGTCTGGGGTAAGATGAAGGAGGAGGCGTTGAAGATGAACACAAAGAGTCTTGATGAACTCTGGGAGTCCTGCAGGAACGCTTTCTTCTTCATTCCAGATGACTTTATTAATCAGTGATTTGAGTCATGTCAGAGATGTATGGATGCAGTCCTCCAAGCTCATGATGGAGTCAGACACAATATTCATTCTGTCTCCACTGCAGCAGAACTTTATATTCTATACTGGACATTATTTCTGTTCAGTAATGACACTTTAGTCTAAGCAGAGTCAGACCTTACTGTCCTAATCAAATCAGTCAAAATCAAGACATGATCATATTTTATTGTGCTCAAATAAGCAAAATCCAGAGGCCTTCAAGAGCCACTTCTGATACCAAATGATCAACTAGAAGTTAACTTATTATTTGCTCTTCCTAAACCTTGAATAGGCCACAAGACTTTTGTCAGGTAGTGTAGATACACGAATGCACACAAATACACAAATTAATTCAGAAAAAAAAAAGTTTTTATTAATCATTTTATTTCAGTTACTTTTTTATTAACTGTTGTCAATTTAATTTAGTTTTAGCATGTATTCATATAAACACACACACAATGTCAAAATTATTAGCCCCCCTTTAATTTTTTTTCCCCCTGATATTTCCCAAACAATGTTAAACAGATTCAGGAAATTTTCACAGTATGTCTGATAATATTTTTTCTTCTGGAGAAAGTCTTATTTGTTTTATTTCGACTAGAAAAAAAGCAGTTTTTAATTTTTAACACCATTTTAAGGTCAATATTATTAGTCCCTTTATACTATATATTTTTCGATAGTCTACAGAACAAACCATAGTTATAGAATAACTTGCCTAATTACCCTAATCTGCCTAGTTACCCTAATTAACCTAGTTAAGCCTTTAAATGTCACTTTAAGCTGTATAGAAGTGTCTTGAAGAATATCTAGTCTAATATTTTTTACTGTCATAATGGCAAAGATAAAATAAATTAGTTATTAGAAATGAGTTATTAAAACTATTATGTTTAGAAAAGAAGCCGGAAGAAGCCAGACCCGGAACCTCTAAAATCTGATCCGGCACCTCATTTTACCGATCCCCTCTTCACATGCATCACACCCTGCTCGCTCTTCACTTTATTCCATGACACATACATATACATATACACACACACACATACATACATACATACATATATATATATATATACTCTCTCTCTCTCTCTCTCTCTCTCTCTATATATATATATATATATATATGTATATATATATATATATGTATGTGTATATATATATATATATATATATATATGTATATATATATATATGTGTATATATATATATATATATATATGTATATATATATATATATATATATATATATATATATATATATATATATATATATATATATATAGTAGCAGTAAATGAAAGTGTTTTTGACCACGAGTTTACTTTTAATTCACTAAAATATGCTTTTTTTAAACTAAGGACAGAAACAGAAGATTCAAACACACTTCACAAAACATTTTCTCCTGATCAGTTTCATTTAATCACTGAATGGACAAAGCGAGCTAATGTATTAAAGTGTAGCATTAGCGGATACGAGATCTGATCACTCCACAATTCCAGCATCCACTCCTGAAATCATGACTGAAATTTCTCTCCGCACGCGATTCGCTACAGTGGAGAATATGAAGGATCTGCCGCCAGACTCGTGTCTGCTCCTGCTCGTCTCCAGAACATTTATCAAATAAATGAGGATTGTCGAGCGGGATGATGAAACCTCACCTTAAAAAGCCAACAGGATATTTTAAGTTACTCTTGTGGCAGGAACAAATTGAATGACTTTACAAAGTGCAATCCGAGGTGCTAAAAGAGCAATGCAAGACTGACGTGGTTTAATGCAAATTTTACAGCAATAGGAGGGTCGAGACTCAGAACACAGGGTCACAGGGTTGTTCAGATCAGGTCAGAGAAGATGATTTTGTCAAGAGGATAAAATATGGCCTGTGTGATGCATTCATTTCATTTTTAGTTTTAACAACTAAACTAAAAAAAGACTAAGCATATTAATTGACTTGCATAATATTAATAATAACAATGATAATATGAATCATCATCACTTTTAAATTTACAATATAACAATAAAATTATAATACACTTCCATATACTTATTTACCAGACACTTCTTTTAGCTAAAACGTAAGTTTTATAAATAATATATTATTAAAAATATCAATAGATTATTTCAATTTAAATTAAATTGTTTATTTTACATAGATTCATACACATTATTATCATTTCTATTAAAAAACTATATTAATATTATATAATAATTTTAGATTATTATAACATAATATAAATCAGGCGACACAGTGGCTTAGTGGTTAGCACTGTGACCACACAGCAAGAAGGTCGCTGGTTCGAGTCCCAACTGGGCCAGTTGTCATTTCTGTGTGGAGTTTGCATGTTCTCCCCTGGGTTGGTGTGGGTTTCCTCCAGTTTCCCTCACAGTCAAACACATGTACTCTAGGGGAAATGATGATATAAACCAAGATTTTTCAAAATGTGAGGGGGAGGCGCGACAGAGCATGTCAGGGGAGGCGCGGGAAAAATATTATATAATAAAAATATAATTATTAAGTTTAATTATTATATGTACTTTTTATTATATTTAAACGTTTTAATTAAAAAAAAGCTAAAAAAAAAAAAACGTCAAAAATAAGAAAACCTTTTTTACCCAGAAGGCCATAGCTGTGAATTCGCTTCTGTTTGGCAAGCCCGCCAATACAGGTATATGCCTGCTAATACAATGGGTCAGTTTCTGAGAAACCCCCGATTCAAAGGCTTCAAGTTCAGGGCTTAAACCCAAAAGACGACGATATGATGATCAGTATTTGAGTTTAGGATTTACGTGGACAGGACCAGCTGATGAACCACGACCTTTATGTGTGGTTTGTCAAGATCTTTTGGCTAATGACAGCATGAGACTCGCTAAACTTCCACTGTTTTGACTGAGATGGACAGTGCTTGGATCTGTTCTATTCATATTGAACCATCATCCTAGTTTTAAAAACATTAATTTAAAATACTTGTTATTACTCTGTAAATAATTGCACTTTCATGCAAATGATGATAAAAGGGAGTTAACAGTCTGACATCTGTCTGTGTCTGTGTGTGTGCGTGTGTGCGTGCGTGTTTGGGAGGAGGGGGGCGCCAAGGGATAAGTTGTGTCAAAGTCTTAGACTTTGAAAAACCCGGATATAAACTATTCTATGAGTGTGTGTGTGTGTGTGTGTGTGTGAACAAGTGTGTATGGGTGTTTCCCAATACTGAATTGCAGCTGGAAGGGCATCCGCTGCGCAAAACATATGCTGGATAAGTTTGCAGTCTATTCTGCTGTGGCGACCCCTGATAAATAAGGGATTAAGCTGAAGGAAAATGAATAAATAAATGAACTAGAAAGACTTGCGTTATAATAATAATAACATAAAAGGTGATGCGGTGGCACAGTGGGTAGCACGTTCACTTCACAGCAAGAAGGTCGCTGGTTCGAGCCTCGACTGGGTCAGCTGGCATTTCTGAGTGGAGTTTGCATGTTCTGCCCGTGTTGGCGTTTCCTTCGGGTGCTCCGGATAGCCCCACAAGTCCAAAGACATGTGGTACTGGTGACCGTAGTGTATGAATGTGTGTGGGTGTTTGCCAGTGATGGGTTGCAGCTGGAAGGGCATCCACTGCGTAAAACATATGATGGAGTAGTTGGCGGTTCATTCCGCTGTGGCGACTCCAGATTAATAAAGGGACTGAGCCAAAAAGAAAATGAAGGAATGAATGAATGAATAAATAATAACTCATCATCATCATTACCATTATTAAATCATTTTAAATGTACAATACAACAATAAAATAACAACACATTTCCATTTACTTATTTAGCAGACACTTTTAACCAAAAGCTGTTTCTAAAGCTATCATTTAAGTTTTTATAAATAATGCATTATTAAAGAAATCAACACATTATTTCACTTTAAATTAAATAAACAGCTTATTTTATATAGCTTCATTTACATTATAATTATTGTTATTTATTTCAAATATTTATATTAATATAATTTAATGATATAAGATGAATATAATATGAATCTATTTAACAATCGCATATTATTTTTTGTAGAAGTACACAATTATAAAACGTCGGTAGTGCTGAAATAATTATAACAATATTAACCAAATATACATTTAAATATTTAAATTTCATTAAATAATATATTATTAAAAACATCAATACATTATTTCAATTTAAAATATTTAATAATGTAATGTAATGTGTAATAATAATAATAATAATAATTCTTTACATTTATATAGCGCTTTTCTCTGCACTTTGGAATGGGGGGGAATCGCTTCATCCACCACCATTGTGCAGTATCCACCTGGATGTCACAACGCAGCCATTTTGAGCCAGACCGCACACCACACACCAGCTGATTGGTGGAGAGGAGACAGAGTGATGAAGCCAATTATGATATGGGGATGGTTAGGAGGCCATGATGGACAGAGGCCAGTGGGCAGCTTTGGTCAGGATACCGGGGTTAAACCCCTACTCGTTTTCGAAGGACATCCTGGGATTTTTAATGACCACAGCGAGTCGGGACCTCGGTTTAACATCTCATCCAAAAGACTGAATGAAATTATCAGTGTATTTTTATAGCTTTTTTAAAATATTTATTTGAAAGACTGTTTAACATCAGCATATTATTATTTGTATTAAATATAAATTTAATTACTGCTGAAATAATTACCAATATTAACTAAATATTTAATTAAATATTTAATTTTAAATGTCATTAATTAATATATATATATTAACTAAAAATATCAATACATTATTTATATTTAAAACATTTAAAATAAATGATCAGTTTTTTATAAAACTCAATATACATTATTATTATTATTATTATTATTATTTTTAAATATTTATATTAACATGAAACTTTTTACCATTAGCATATTATTATTTGTAGTAGACATAATTATATTGTTACCGCTGAAATAATTATAACAATATTAACTAAATATACATATAAATATATAATTTAAAATGTCATTAAATACAAATTTTACATCATTTTAATTTAAATGTCAAAATATAATAATTTACTTATAAATATAGAATTTAATATAACTATTTTAAATATACATATATCATTAAATACATCATTTTAATTTAAATGTCAAAATATAATAATTTACTAATGAATATAGATTTTAATGTTGTGAAATTTTGCGTTTGATTGTTTATTTTATATATTTGAATATGGTTAAACTCTCCAGACAACCTTAAAGCAATGTTTCATTGCTTCTCTGCTCTGTTGTATTTATATATGCTTGTAGTTTATGCAAATGCACTGCACAGAAAAAGTCTTGATCATCCCAATCAATCTAAATGAATAAAAATAGAACTACTCCATTCCATTTGGTAAAATTACACCAATATCGCAGTAAATCGCAAAAAAAATAATAAAAATTCACAATTTCAGATTTCTACAATTTCAGGAGCCCTACCTCCTGGTCCACCTGGAGGAGCCGTACAGTGATGTTCCCCTTTAAGTAATGTGGTGGTTTATTAGGAAAGACCCCCAGCTGAGTGATGACCACTGAGTGAAGGACCTTAAAGTCCAGACTGAGCACCGGGACGTCAGACTGCAGCAGCGCAGACGAGTCTGGGACGCTCAGTATCGCCATCTCCTGTCCAGACACTGAAAACACAATTCAGAAGATCAACCATTCAACAATCCTAACAAATACATTAACAATAATTATAGCAGTGGCTCTGTTTCAGTCAGTATTACGGTTTTATTTGTGCATCAGTGGATTTGCTCTTTGTTTTTATTAATATTCTGAACTGAACTAAACTGATGCTTAGCACTGTAGCCTCACAGCAAGAAGGTCGCAAGTTTGAGTCCCGGCTGGGCCAGTTGGCATTTTTTCTGTGTGGAGTTTGCATGTTCTCCCTGTGTTGGCGTGGGTTTCCTCAGGATGCTCCGGTTTCCCCTACAGTCCAAACACACGCGCTATAGGGGAATTGATAAGCTAAAGTGTCCGCTTTGTCTTAAAATAAGTGTGTATAGGTGTTTGCCAGTGATGGGTTGCAGCTGGAAGGGCATCCGCTGTGTAGAACATATGCTGGATAAGTTGGTGGTTCATTCCGCTGTGGCGACCCCTGATGAATAAAGGGACTAAACCAGAAAGAAAATGAATGAATGCAATTATCAATCATTAATATTATCCTCATTAATAGATCCCAACATAAATCCTGCATTAGTCATTTAAAAGTGTCGATTAAACGCACAAACGCATTCAATTTAATCATGTGACCACCCGATGTTTAACTAAAGCAGAATGTGTCCTGGAGATGCAGAAAGACGGAGCGGTTTTCACAAGAAACCAAACATCAGCACTTTAGAGACTCGTCTGCTCCCAAACTCCGGCGCTCTTAATTAGAAAGAGGCCATTCATTACCCAGGAGATCAATTGAAGGAACACAGCAGTTAATGGAGAAACAGCAGCAGACTGAGAGCAGACAGAGCAGATGTATATGTGTGTGTGTGTGTGTGTTTTGTATATGCATCATTATAGCTTTTATTCTGTTGAAAACATTGTATATAAAAAAATTTAATTATGTTAAGCTAATTTAACATACAGTTGAAGTCAGAATTTTGTATATTTTTGTCTTCAATTTCTGTTTAACAGAGAGAAGATTTTATCAACACATTTCTGAACATAATAGTTTTAATAACTCATTTTAATAACTGATTTATTTTATCTTTGCCATGACAGTAAATAATATTTGACTAGATATTCTTCAAGACACTTATTTACAGCTTAAAGTGACATTTAACTGGGTTAATTAGGGTAAAGTTAGGGTAATTAGGGAAGTCATTGTATAACAGTGGTTTGTTCTGGAAACAATCCACAACTAATATTGCTTATGAGGGCTAATAATATTGACCTTAAAATGGTTTATAAAAAATTTAAAACTTTTATTCTAGCTGGGAAAAAAAGAAGAAAACATATTATAGGAAATACTATAAAAATAATGTTTGGATAAGAAATTATTTTGGAAAAAAAGTCAAATTGACTAGACGTAAATTATATAAAATTTTTCATTAAAATTTATTATACAAAATTTCACTTTAAAATACAGATTAAATAAATTAACTAATTTAAATAAAACATCCAACAGTAGTACAGTACAAGATTGTGTGCGATGGCAAATTATTGTTTATTTCAAATAATATTTATATATATGTGATGCAACGGTTCTTAATATAATATTGAACCGTTCGGTACGACCTCCACGGTTCAATCCGCGCTTGTGAATTGCGGTTTTCTCGGTTTTGTGTTTTCCTCCCCGCGAGTAAATATCCAATCACTATGCTCTAAAGTTAGGGGGCGCTTGACCATCATTCCACACTTTAACATGGCGAACGGCGGTGAAGTGAGGCTGAGGCAACAGTACAAGGAAGCGCCGTCGAAGTGAGGCAACAGTACAAAAAAAAGGGCCGGTGTCAAATCTGCGGTATGTGTACATTTCGGTTTTGCCAGTAAGTATAATGCTAATAAAAGAAAAAACGGTGAACAAAAAATAACTGTGCGCAAGCATTGATTTACACGTATAACCATGACTGCACATCTGCAGCGCATCACCCAGCAATATCACTGTCTGAAGCAGGACAGCAGAGAAGGTAATAAAGTCCTCCAAATAGCAACAATCCCTCGTTAAATCTGTCAAGCAAACAAACCCAACTGATTCCGAGAGACACATAAAATAACAAATGCAGTGCGGGTGTTTACTGCTGAAGATTAGCAGCCGTTTTCGGTGATGGGAGATGTGGGCTTTTGTCATCTTATAAAAGCACTCGATCCACCTTACAGACTACAGTCTCGCATTTGTCCAGCACCGAGATAATAAAGATAGTTTATTTATGTTTACTGAAGTACAAATATGTTTATTTGAAATGCCCAATTTATCTTTATTAACTCTACATGTGTGTTTATTTTCAAAGTGCAGAATTTTATGTGTTCCCCAGTTTGTACATGGGCTACCAGCAGCTGAGAGATTTCAGTGTTCATTATTATACAGTACACTAGGAACTACTGTACTTTTCTTGGATTTTAAGTAAAACAAAATGAGTATTGCAAAAAATCATTTTTATGTTTTTCTCCTTAACCTCTTACTGTTCCTATTGCCTTAAAAAACCGAGGTATGTATTGAACCGTGGGCTAACTTTATTGTTGCATCCTAATATATATATATATATATATATAACTCAATTAACGCAGTTGCAGGTTTTTTTTTCACTTCTTGTTGTGGTGGACGTGTGTTCAACACGCAAGACATGAGGATAAGACCAAGGAAGCACTTTTTGAAGGCAAGTTTCAGTATAAAACAATTAGTCGCATCACCAGGCTCTCCAAAGTTTCATGCAATTTCGGACAGGGCATTACTCTGCCTTTCAGCATGAGCCCTCCAAGTTTAGCGTGTTTCCTCATTAAACGCAACGAAAGCGTATGCTTCGCGTTGTTGTGTCAGAATCCTTGTGAAATACAGTAATACTTTAGGACGCTTAGTTTAGGACGCTTAGCAAATTTGATGAACGTGATCATGCGTGTTGAATCTGAGGGGAGTCGCTCCAGTATGGAAGGCCGTTGGGGCCAAAACATCTGCAGCGCGTTGTGTGTGTCTGTCTGTGTGTGTGTCTGTGTCAGGCCCGTTGAGGGGTGTCAGGGGTGGAGTGAGCGACGTATCTGAGTAGGGGCGAGAGGGGTGTGCAATGTATTTAACGACCGGTTTGCAAGAAATTATCATTCATTTGCGGGCATTTGGGAGTCTCTGTGCACTTGCGGGATACTCCTAGTCTTAGCAACTGGATGAATGTAAAGGAGGATTAAGCAAAGTTGTTTCTACTCTATAATTAATGTTCTCAACTCACAGCAATAAAACTTTACAATGAGTGCAACAGTTTGTATTCTATAGATTATTATTATAATTTTTCATTTTCCAGATCTGCAATTCCTGTATTTTGGCATTTTTTTGCAGTCCACTTAGAATCCAACATGGAAATCAATGTTTTCTTTATTGGCATTGATTGTTTTGAAATTTAAATGTCATTAACATGCCTGTGTTTTATTTCTGTAATAAATATGGCTGTCAAGCCAGGATCTTGATGGTTTATTGTGGGTATGTTGTTTACATGAAGAAATCTGTGTTACAAGTTAAACAAAAATTCTATTAAACAATTATATTTTGAATTTAAATAGTTTTTGTCTTGCGTTTACATTTATTTTACATTTAAATAGCCAAAATTTTAAGTTTCAGTATTTTAAATGCGATTAATCGTGATTATTTTTTAAAAAAAGGTGCGATTAATTAGTTACATTTTTTAATCGATTGACAGCACTAATATATATATATATATATATAAAATATACACACACACACACACGCACACACACACACGCTCGCACACAAATGCGCGCACACACACACACAGTTGAAGTCAGAGTTATTACCCCCCTGTTTATTTTTTTCCCCAATTTCTGTTTAACAGAGAGAAGATGTTTTTTTTCAACACATTTCTAAACATAATAGTTTTAATAACCAATTTATTTTATTGTATTAGAAATTACAAATACACAAATAATTCATTTGCATTTTCACAAGTCTTTAAATCCCCCTTTTTTTGTCTCTTCACCTCACCTCCTCACATAAAACACAAAGTTTTTCCCCGCTGGCCAACCCCTCTGCGCATGTGCAGCACGCAACTGTGCATGAAATGCTGCACATGATCTTTTTGGCCCCTTTTGACAGTCTTGTGATAATGGACTGTTGATCCAAATGTTGGTACTCTAAATTTAAATTCTTCTGTTCTTACTTCACATTTTAAATTCAAATTGGAATCTCCTTTGATCTCCACAGAAAAAGGAACACATTTAAACTCCAACTGTCAAAATGAAAGATGGAGACAAACCGTTCTCACAGGACGTTCTGCTGAAATCTGAGAGACGGCAAAACATGCTGACTATTTAGGAGAGAATCCAAGTGCACACTATGATGCGAGGACACACACTGCGCAGTGTTCAGAGTCCCGCAGAGCAGCAGATCTATCAAAGCGAACCGTCTGCGATCAGAGAAAGAGATGCGGAGGATCCTGACTGACCTGCGGCTTCACTGAGCTCCAGCTGAGAGCAGGAATACTGATCCTCCAGATCCTCCAGCGGCACCGAGCAGCCCTGAGCCCCGATGATGAACTTCACCAGGACCCTCAACAACACAATTATACACATATTATACTTTGTGTCCAGTCATTTTTAAATAAAGGAAAAACATAAATCAGATCTTCTCATAAGACTGAAAGTATTTCATAAGCATGTGGGTATGGTTATTAAATATACAAAATATTATATATATATATATTTATTTATACAACAGTTCTGTCTGGTTCTCGAATCTGATTGGCTGATAGCCGTGATATATTTAAGTAATATAAGCAACCGTAAAGCCTCTTTACCCTTTGTGTATTACTCCACCCACATACAGTCAGCAAAAAGCAGACACTACAGATCTAAAGTTTAAAAGATGCTTCCTCAGCTGTTTAACTGTCAGCTTATGATTTGAATCCAAGGCGGAAGAAAGCAGTTCCTCAAACAAAAGGGTTTTTGAGACTCTTCATGTTTGATTTTGTTTTTATATACACAATTATGCCATCAAACTGTTGTATAAATGCAATATCACACTCATAGCAGTGCGATATGGCTGTATATCGGCACTGGTAGAAGGCGTGCGTTGACTCAAGGCTGCAGGCCGGCTGCCTTAGTGTCCCAGCAGTGACGATATACAGCCATATAGCACTGCTACGAGTATAATATTGCGTTTATACAACAGTTTGACAGCATAATTGTATATATAAAAAGAAAATCAAGTATGGAGAGTAAAAATCCTCTTTTTAGAAGAACTACTTTCTTCATCCATTCATTCACATCTGCAGCAGATGTCAGCACAGCAGAAACCGCTGCTCATTCATTTAGCTAGTGTTTGAATGATTCTCTAGCGTAATGTCTAAAGTGATGACAAAACAGGTGATTTTGCTTACATTTTAAGATTATACGGCTGAACACCATAAAATGTCATTAGTCTGAGATTTCCCATTATTTCTCGGAAGATTACAGTAATTCTCTAAAGATTTCAATCGAGAGATAACAATAATTAACCGCCCAAAAACCAAAGCAAACACTAGCAGACTACTGTAGTTTAAATACAGCACTACAACATACAAAAAAAGAGAGATTGACTTGGAATGTCACCTGTTTAATAATGATTTGATCAGCTGTAGTTAGATATTAGGCTGAGTTTTTCTCCTCTAAGGGCTTATTATGTGGTCTCTGTCGCCACCTTGTGGGTGAACGTCAACCGTCTTTGCTCTGCTCATTGACAGACTCATCGCTGCCGACACTCTGTGGGCTCTATTTTGACTATCCATGCGCAAAGTGCAAAGCGCAGGGCGCAAAAGCAATAAGGTCATGTCGTAATCTACTTTTGCTATTTTAAGGACGGAAAAATCCGCTTTGCGCCCTGGCGGATGGTCTAATAGGTTTGAGATTATTTTCTTAATGAGTTACAGGTGTGTTTTCAGAATAAACCAATCAGTGTCTCATCTCCCATTCCCTTTAAGAGCCAGATGCGTCGCGCCATAAGCGCATTCGCTATTTACATGGTGGACTTTGTAAGTGGAAAAACTGAGTGTTTCACTAGCAAGAAAACGGTTAAACAGAGCATCTACAGCGCAAGAATGAGAGATAAGCCTCCTCATTATTTGCTTTCACTTTCATAGATTGGGAAACTTCTTGAACACAGACAACCATTAGCCTATAAAAGATTTGTTTCATAACTATTTCTAAATTCAGTTCTAATTTCCAGCGAACAAATAAATGAACAATAATACAAAAGCAAAATGTTATGAATAAACTAAAAAAGCCCCCATGCCATGGCGGCGGTGGCTTTTATATTTATGTAGGCTAGAAAATAATGTTTTGTATTATTTTAATCCTTTATATTTATATCCTATATATATCCTTATTATCTTCAATATATATATATATATATATATATATATATATATATATATATATATATATATATATCCTAATATTTAAATTATTTTTCATTTGTAAAGATATTTGCGTATTGCTCTACATCCTGTTTGTATTAAGCAGTGTGTAAGGAGGCACAAAACTAACACGCTCTGCGCTGGACTATAGACCGGCTTTGCTCCGGGTGTATGATAGGGCCCTGTATCTCCGAAATTCTAAATATTTAAAATAGGCTCTATCCTTATAAATAAACTGCATAGTTGCAATCTAAACAACTACATTCTCGACTAAAAAAGCCTCAAAAGTACATTATGTTGTCCAACAGCTGCAATATTTGTCAAACTGTAAAGTGTCCTCTGCTTGCTACTTGCGTGGGTCGAGTAATACACAAGGATGATGAGGCTGTATGAGTTCTGATATTACTTTAATATCTCACAGCTATCAGCCAATCAGATAAGAGAACCAGACAGAACTGTTGTGTGTGTGTGTGTGTGTGTGTGTGTGTGTGTGTATATATATATATATATAAATAAATAAATGCAGGTACAATAAAATACAAAAAATGTTATATTAATAATAATATTAACATAATAGCAATAATATAAGAAGAATAAAAATAAGAATTTAATATTTTGCACAGCAAATAATGCAATATTTCTCATTGTTTTAATATTAATAAAATTAATAAAACTTTCATTAAAGGCTAAAATAAAATAAACCCCGAAATGCTGAACCTTTCAATAAAACTTAGTAAAAAATATATACAGTTGAAGTCAGAATTATTAGCCGCCCTGAATTATTAGCGCCCCTGTTTATTTTTTTCCCCAATTTCTGTTTAACGGAGGGAAGATTGTTTCAACACATTTCTAAACATAATAGTTTTAATAACTCATTTCTAATAACTGATTTATTTTATCTTTTCCATGAAGACAGTAAATAATATTTTACTTGATATTTTTAAAGACACTTCTATACAGCTTAAAGTGACATTTAAAGGCTTAACTAGGTTAATAAGGTGAACTAGGCAGGTAAGGGTAATTAGGCAAGTTATTCTATAATGATGGTTTGTTCTGTAGACTATCGAAAAAAAAAATTAGCTTAAAGGGGCTAATAATTTTGTCCCAAAAATGTTTTTTAAAAAAATAAATAACTGCCTTCATTGTAGAAAAAATAAAAGAAATAAGACTTTCTGTAGAAGAACAAAAATATTATTAGACATACAGTGAAAATTTCCTTGCTCTGTTAAAAATAATTTGGAAAATATTTAAAAGAGAGAAAAAAAAATCAAAAGGCGGCTAATAATTTTGACTTCAACTGTATATAATAATACTCATTATAACAAATAATAATAAAAAAATGTAAAAATAAAAACAAAAGCATCTCAAATATACTTAAAATAGCATGAATAAGTAAAAGGTACCTTTGGAGTATTTCTATATCTATAAAGTGTATATTAATGTTAGATAATACTTTTATATGGTTATATACATGTCAGATTTTTGTGCAGAAAACTTTCACATTTTAGATTTTTCATTACTATTTTTCCACCCACTCTCTGACCCTTAGAAATAAAAGTTATGTTCTGTTCATTCAATACGCTGTGGCCTTCAAACTTGTTATGAGCACACGCAGCATACATTCAATCACGCATTCATTTATTCACAATAAAACCCTGCAAAACATCGACTAGCAGCAGTGTTCGACTGCAATCCACACATTAAATCATGCTGGACACTTTTTAATGAGAGTTTCACCTGGAATGATACATCTTTGGGCAGTGGTGGACAGTAACTAAGTATTTTGTTAAAGATCAAGCAGTCAATAACTCTTTAATAACTGAACAGGTGTGTTTAATGAAGCAGAAGTGAAGCATGCATGTGTGCTGACCGGTTCTGGAAGTGCGGGTGCTGTTTTAGGTACCCCAGCCACGTGTCTCTGATGGCCTGCCGGAGCTCATGATTGTGACGAGCTGATAAAACACCCACCAACACCTCTCGCACATCAGCCTTCGGTCTGTCTGTCAAGGAGAAATAAAGCCATTCAATCACAGCCACACAAACACCATTCAAACCTTCTCACACTCCCTTATTGTGGATTATAAAAACTTGGTACTTTGGTTTTGCAGATCAAAAACCACTTTCCTTGTCTTATAATTTGCCTGTATGTATTTTTACCTTATTTGCTCCTAAATGGGTCGCTGTAGAAAGCATTAAATATCCCCCTTTTGCCTTCAGAACTGCCTTAATCCTTCATGGCGTAGATTCAACAAGCTACTGGAAATATTCCTCAGAGATTTTGCTCCATAGTGACATGATAGCATCACACAGTTGCTGCAGATTTGTCGGCTGCACATCCATGATGCCAATCTCCCGTTCCACCACATCCCAAAGCTGCTCTATTGGATTGAGCTCTGGGGACTGTGGAGGCCATTTGAGTACAGTGAACTCATTGTCATGTTCAAGAAACCAGTCTGAGATGATTCACGCTTTATGACACGGTGTGTTATCCTGCTGGAAGCAGCCATCAGAAGATGTAGACCAATGACTGTAAAAAATATGGACGACACGACAGCCCCTTTTCCCATTGGAGCCTTGACATGCGCAGAAGGACTGTCTGATGGAGCCAGAGGAGGAGCCGCGAAAATGAGTCGAGCTTCCAACCAAACGGTTTATGTAAAATCAACCACGCCCCCCGAACTTCTCAGCATGCGTTTGCTGTCATTTTAACACAAATGGATGTTATAACGTTAACAAATATGAGGGTTTTATATATTCAATCGCGCCAGCTCCAGCGCCAGCGCCAGCGTATAACGTACTCGCGGCGTCACGGGCTGATTCCGGCTCGCATGCGGCAGCGCGGCTCGCTCGGCCACCCCATCTGGCTCGTTTGACTCGGGCTGGAATCGGGCAGTGAGTCCAGGCATCCGGAGTAGGTTCAGCACAGGTAGTCAGTCTGAGCTCTGAGGGGTAAGTCTCCGGCAGGCGAGAATCTAGCCGGAACCGGCCTGAGTGTGTTTTGCTATCTGGGTGGTTAGGCATGTATCAGCAAACTAATAAAGCCCGAAAAAGCCCTGACCTTAGCGAATAAACAGTGTTCCACCAGATCATGTATGTCAGAAACTATAGTTTACTGCTGAACTCATTTTATCACAGTAAAATAACACAGAAATCGAATAATGACACTTCAGTTTCTTGCCGAAGCTCAGATGCGCTGCTTTGAGAAACTGTAAATCACAGCTGTCAATCACGATGACACGCCCAGCATTAAATTACTGCTAAAAACAAACTGTTTACAAAAATGAAGATCTGCACCTATTTCAGCACAACAATCAGTGCCTTAATCGACCAGAACCACCTTTCGGGACATTTTATTGCAAGTGTAATAATTTTTTTTATTTGGGCTCAAGTCTCCTTCATTAACACGGAGGAGGCTGGCTTTATGAATTGTACTGCAGCCAGCCCCCAGGGGGCGATCTAACGGCCGAGACCTTCACTCAAACGCAGGCTTGCGGCACACTTGATGGAGACACTGTGGTCATAAAGGGATAGACATGGTCAGCAGGAATACTCAGGTAGGCTGTGGCGTTGACATGATGCTCAGTTGGTACTAATGGGCTCAAAGTGTACCAAGAAAACATCCCCCACACCATTACACCACCACCACCAGCAAACAGCTGATACAAGGCAGGATGGATCCATGCTTTCATGTTGTTGAGGCCAAACTCTGACCCGAGCATCTGAATGTGTCAGCACAAATGGAGACTCATCAGAGCAGGCAACGTTTCTCCAATCTTCTATTGTCCAGTTTTGGTGAGTCTGTGTGAATTGTAGCCTCAGTTTCCTGTTCTTAGCTGACAGGAGTGGCACCCGGTGTGGTCTTCTGCTGCTGTAGCCCATCCGCCTCAATGTTGGACGTGACTCTTGTGTTGTTCTGCAGAGCTCGGTTGTAACGAGTGCTTATTTGAATTACTGTTGCCTTTCTATCAGCTGGAACCAGTCTGCCCATTCTCCTCTGACATCAAGAAGGCATTCTCCGTAAACCCTAGAGATGGTTGTGCGTGAAAATCCCAGTAGATCAGCAGTTTCTGAAATACTCAGACCAGCTTGTCTGGCACCAACAACCACGCCATTTTCAAAGTCACTTAAATTCTTTCCCATTCTGATGCTCGCTTTGAACTGCAGCAGATCGTCTTGACCATGTCTACATGCCTAAATGCATCGAGTTGCTGCCATGCGATTGGCTAATTAGAAATTTGCATTAACAAGCAATCGGACAGGTGTCTTCTTGTTTCCTGCTTTCTCTCTCTATACTTTTGATACAATACCTAAATTAATTCATGATACCCTCTGACCTCTGTTCTCACGCAGACTGAAACGCAGAGCAGATGATGCAGCGAGATGAAAGTCTCTGGCCCTTTGTGAGCCCTAATGGATCGTCACTTGTGTCCTGTTTGACCATGTGTGAAAACATCAGAGCAAGTGTATAATGTGCATCTGTGCCTTTGTCACCAGGTGAGGCTCGGCATGAACTCCGACACTTTCTACACACAAACTGACTTCATGTTCAGATTAGGGCTGTGCAATATACGGGACTATGTTATACGAGACTTTAGAATATTCCATTCTGATTGGCTGACACACAGCTAAAGTAGTTCCGGTAGGTTTTGAGTGCATTACAGCTCCAAAATACTTAATAATACATAATACCATAATACATAATACAGTGGGTAGCACCCACCTCACAGCTAGGGATGGCTGACGTGAAACTGACGTTTCGACATGATCCGAAGCACCCAAGTCACGTGACTAAAGTGTTTCGAAACACCTAGTCACGTGACTAAAGCGATTCAAAGCGTCGATCAGCTTAGAAGCGTTTCGAGACCTGGCGGGTCTGGATTTGGCTGCCAAGGTTAAAAAAAATTGGCCTAGAGGACTGTGCGTGTACATGCTGTATCTATGCTTTGCATGACGTTTTCGGTTCGAATCCCGACTTGTACAAATATGGTTTTATGTATTTTAATCATTTTTCTGTTTTGTGTAGCCTAAATAGGATACAGCTGCAGTTACTCCATCAATTTAGCATCATTTTTGTAACACTGTAAAACAATAATTAATATTTTACAGTATGGTTGGGTTTAGGGTTAATAAAATACCATAAATGGGAAATTTAATGAATTTAATGAAATTTAACGAATAATATAAATAATTCTTGATAACTTCAGGCCACCGTTTCTGATCTAGCAACAACCCTGTTTTAAGACCAAAGCAAGACATATTTATTCACAAATTGTTTATTCGGATATCAGACCAATGTTGAAACAAAACGATACAAAAGCAAAGCATTACCAACTGGGGTCCGTTCTTCGTACCTCGCTTAAATGATCTGAGATTATTTGGCAGATCCTGGATCTTTTAATCTTGATAACTGATCTCTCGCTAATTTGGGTCTTCAAACAAGTTCGTGAATCAGATTAGAATGTCTGGATGAACTGATCTGAGATCGCTGCGTGTGTTGTGAAGGACAGATCTATCGATCCTCGAAATCATGATCAGCAATGCAACGATTGGCTGACGGCACAGCAGCGTAATGACATCATCTGATTAATATTCAATTATCCATGTGAGCAAAATTACATCAAATTAGCAGTAAACGGCTTGTTAAATATGACACGCAAGAACTTTCCACATTTGTTGTGAGCTGCAGGCTTTACACTTTCATTTGTCAAGACAAGAGTATTCATCATGTATTTCAATGCAAATCAATGTATTTAGTTCTACATTTAGAAAAGATTTTCTTTATAATAGTAGCCGTTTTTTAATCGGTGTAAAGAATAACTGGTTGTTTACAAAAGCATTTTCATATTGGTAAAGGCGTCTGCAACTTTTGTGAAGCATCACTGGCATATTAACAAAACATGTTTATGACTGCATAAATGTATTATTGCTTTAAAAAAAGTCACATATTGTGCATTTCTATTATACACAATATGTACTGAAGCGATCTAAAAAGTTCATATCAATAAGTTTTGTCTTTGTACTTTAATTTCGAGGGTGCAGATTGCATACGTTTTATTAATATGTATAACTTTATTTATTTTATTAATAACTATAACTTTATATATATAGTTAAAAAATATGTACAATTTTCCCAAGTGTATAGAACCACTACTGTAAGAAAAAATCAGAATTCAGAACATACTTTCTGTATTATCTTTGCTTGAACTGAGCCGATCTAATCCTGTTTATATGAATTGAACCTGCTCCCGATCAGGTTTGACCTAGCAGAACTGTTGCCATGACAACAACTCTCAGATCAGCTTTGAAGAACGAAACGATCCTGGATCTTGTCAAATCGTCAATATCCAAATCCAGCTTACGGAGTAATCCACGTACGAAGAACGGACCCCTGGTATTAAAGCATTTCAAAACAACTGAATCAGGCTGGCTCCAAACCTACTATCCCCACATGGAAGTCTGATACCTAGTCCCCTGTACTAAATTACTTGAAGGACCAAGCATACAAAGTGGGGTTTAATGCCTCAATTTGTTCAACTGTTCTTTGCTGAAGCTGTTTCAGTGCAATACATAAAAAATGACCACTAGATGTCACTGTAGAATGGAGTTTCGAAACGTTTCGAAGCTTCGACACATTTGCTTCGACTGTTTCAGTGTTTCATGAAGCCTCGCTTTGCCCACCACTACTCACAGCAAGAAGGTCGCTAGTTTGAGCCTCAGCTGTGTGGAGTTTGCATGTCATTTCTGTGTGGAGTTTGCATGTTCTCCCCATGCTGGCGTGAGTTTCCTCCAGGTGCTCCGGTTTTAGCCACAAGTCCAATGACATTTGATACAGTTAAATTGGGTAGGCTAAATTGTCCGTAGTGTATGAGTGTGAATGAGTGTGAATGGATGTTTTCCAGTGATGGGTTGCAGCTGGAAGGGCATCCGCTGCGTAAAACATATGCTAGATAAGTTGGCGGTTCATTCCGCTGTGGCGACCTCAGATTAATAAAGGGACTAAGCTGAAAAGAACATGTATGAATAAATGCACAAGTTTCATACATGTTTTGAACAGTTTTATATGCAAGTAATTTATAGGTGTATATGCACATGTTGATAAGCGAAGTTTGATTTAAATCCTACACGGCGCCTCATAGCCATCTGTGTAGCTTCATTGCCTTCTCTTCTGACAACGCTGGTTTGGTGAGGCGACAGGTTTTATGCGATGGAACAGATTTGATGTGTTCCCGCTGCTAGTCGGCACCACTCTCCTGCACATTTTGCAGAGCACCGAAACTATACGTTTATCAGAACTTAAAAAGCCGAACCACTTCCACACCACTGCATTAGTCTTTCCTCTCTCATCAACGAATTTGCCGCACTCCTTTTGTAGCTAAAACTTTCTGTGACGGAGCTTATTTAACTTAGAGCTCCACAATTAACCGTAAAAAGATCGCAATCTCGATTCGACCCCCTAGACGATCTTAATCAGCATTTCTACGATTCTGTCAATCATATTTTTAAGCAAAAGTGGCCGCACTAGTCTTCACATTATTTTACATACGTTGTTTAGCAACGTAGACACCTCCAAATGGTGTTGGAAGAGTCACATGCAGTATTTATAAGATACAATTCACCTAAAAATGTCATTTCTGTCTTCATGTAATGTATTTGCGACCGCAAAACCACGCGTGACGTGAGCTGACCGTCAGCTGTTACCACAGAGAGGGCGGGAGCCGCGCGCCTCTGAATGAACTAATGAAGTCTACTTTAATGAACAGAACCATCATAGGCTGTGAAGAACAGGTAATAAAGTTGTAAATAACATTTAGTTTGTGGCACAGAGTGATCGTTTGGGAGCCGCGCGGGAAGTGAACCGCTTAGCAGTGAAAATGAAACCGAAAGTGCACAGTGTTCCAAATGTAGCTGACTGAAGCCAGCCCAAAAAGTATCCAAAACCCACCGAAATGCAAAAATACCCACCCAGTCTTCTGTATTCACGAAAATCACGTCAGTAAAAGATTTTAGGCAGAAAATGACAGATTGTAAGCAAATGTCTCAAACACAATATTTCAACATCAGAATTATCAGCATTAATGACCAGGACACATCTAAAGTCTGTTCAAGTCCTCCATTCCAAGTCTATACAACATTTAGCATTTTAACCAACAGTACAGCTACACAAAGCCTATTGCTGTTTTACCACATTTGAGAATAACAATTCAATTCAATTCAATTCAGCTTTATTTGTATAGCGCTTTTACAATGTAGATTGTGTCAAAGCAGCTTCACATAAATGGTCATAGTAACTGGATCATGGTCGTTCAGTTTTTAGTGTTTAAGTTCAGTTCAGTTTAGCTCAGTTCAGTATTATTACTTCAATAATAGTAGCCCACTAGAGCTGCACGATTCTGGCTAAAATGAGAATCGCGATTTTTTTGCTTAAAATAAAGATCACGATTTTCTCACGATTCTGTAGATGTAAAATAAAGGTATGGTAAAAACAAACATATAGCACAACATCGATAATAATATTATGTGTAGGTCTACTGGTTTCTATAAATAATCCTATTTTACTTATAATAATTCTGATGTTGAATTTTTATGTTTGAGATTGCAATCTGTCATTGACAACATTATTAGACAATTTTATTCACTGGTGAAATCAGACATTTGCCATTATCAGATTATATTTAACAATATATAGGCTAGAGTAGTTATACTGACACTGTAAACATTTATTTTCATGCCCAACTCTGTTCGCTATGAAAGAAAACATATCAAATGCTTGTGGTAATCATAACTCTAAAATGCGATATGATCATTTAAATGAACAGCACACTTTCGGTTTCATTTTGACTGCTAAGTGCTTGTTCATACTTCGCGCGCGGCTCCCAAACGATCACTCGGTGCCACAAACTGAATATTATTTACAACTGTATTACCTGTTACTCGCAACATATGCAGGTTCTGTTCACTAAAGTAAAAGCGCACATCTATCATTAAGTAGGGCGCGCACGCCCTCTCTGTGATAACAGCTCACGGTCAGCAGCTCACGTCACGTGTGATTTCCCGGCCATTAAAACATCATTATATGACGACAAAAATGACATTTTTTTAGGTGAATTATACCTTATAAATACAGTATGTGACGCATTCAACATCATTTGGAGGTGTCAATTTCACTGAGCATCGTTTGTGAAACAATAAAAAGACTCGTGCAGCCGCCTTTTCTTCTCTCCTGAACTTGAAAATATGATTGACAGAATCGCAGAAATGCTGGATTAAGATCGTCTAGGGGGTCGAATCGAGGTCGCGATCTTTTTTCGATTAATTGTGCAGCTCTATAGCCCACTCATATTAACCTTTATTTTATATCTACAGAATCATGAGAAAATCGTGATCTTTATTTTAGGCACAAAAAAAAAAAAAAAAATCGCGATTCTCATTTTAGCCAGAATCATGCAGCTCTAATTTAACTAACACGCTGGCAGCGTGTCTGTGATGTACGTCATCACGCAAGTGGCATCACGCTCTTTCTGACGGCTGAGCACTGAAAGTCATTCAGTGACAAAAGAAACAACGTATAAGATCTTATATATGATTATATATTTATATATATATATATATATATGCAAATTTATATCGAAATACCGGAAATGGGTTTAAAAATCATTTCACCGTTACTGAAAAAAAATCGATTGCGATATATATTGATATGGAATTATTGTCAAGCCCTAGCTATACTCCATATAAAAGACAGAAACTAAGCTTACTTTGCAACTGCAACTGATGATCAACAGTAAAAATTACAAATTGTCCCTCTTCCCAACAGGGAAAACCAGCAACAATCAAGAACACAAAATAATATGCTGTCATTGCTTTGTAATCAAAACTGTCATTATAATAGAAGTCAAAAGACTGAAGTAAAGTTGGTGCTTAATTCACAGATTTGGACTTTCTCCTTAATAATATAATTTCAGAAAAGTATTCTTTGCAAAGTACCATGGTAAACAATACTGGGAGCATGTCACAAGTTGTCACTGAATGAAAGAGCGAGTAAAAAACCTACTTTAGCTCAATAGTCAATGGGGCAAAAACAGCCCCCAACATAACGAAAGGGGAGTGAATTTGCGCAAACTCTATTGTTGAGTTTTTTTTTTTTAATTTCAAAGTGTTTTCCCAAAATATGTGTCAAAATAATAGTTTCAACAAAAAATGATATCATTTGCTGAAACATGGAGAAAGTTGTAGCTAAATTAAGCCTTAAAATGACCCCAGAGAATATACAAGGAACTTTATAACGTTACCCCAGTGTGAAGTTGAGCGGTTTGTACCTGCAGCTCTGAAACCCAGCAGCTCCGCGCTTCTGTCCGTCCAGCAAATCCAGTGGAGCAACACCGCGAGCACACACACCGACAGCGCCGCCGCTGCACTTCTCATGGACGGACGGCGGATCCGCAAACCGACGCTGAACGGACTGCAAACACAGGGAGAACCGGCGGGGAGATGCGCATCGCGGAGCTCTGAGGAGCGTCGGGAGCGCAGGCGTCATGTCTAACAGCACGCTGATGACGACGGGCTCAGACAACCAATAGGAACCCAGTCGTCGTCGCGCGGTGATTTCTGGGAAATGTATTTTTTTTTATTTTCCTTGTAAATTTAAAAACTCTTTCACTTGCTGTTGCCATGACGATTAGGTGAAGTCAAGGATGAACAGTTATTGTTGTCATTATTGTTATTAATCATTTAATCGAATTTATCTAAAAAAAAATATAGCAATATATGAAGAGTTTAGATGCAAAAAAAACGCTTAAATGCCTCAGAGATTTTCATCTAAAAAGAGCATTTTTCTCAGGTTGTTGTGTGTATTTTCAGTCATTTCACTCTGTGTAAAGAATCGGTTATTGTCATTGCATTTAAAGTAAAATAACTGAACACAAACATAGTAGGCTAAGAAAAACATTTTAAAGGATTTTTTTAATTTGATGCAGGTTTTTGCATCTAAGCTTTTCATATTTCAAATAGGCAAAAGGACGCACACACATATATATATACTTTTCCCAACTTATGATATTAATTTATTGTCATATTTTCCCTGAAACATAAGCATTTTGTTATAATTTATTATAATTGTTATTTAATTACAAACACCTATATTAAAAAAAAACCTAAATATGATAATAATAATGATATAAAAAAACAATTTAAAAACAAAAGATAATTGCATCATTTTGCAATTAGGGCAAAACTTAATGAATTTATTTTCTTCCTGTTGAACACAAAATAATATATTTTAAAGTATGTTCGAGTCATTGTCATTGATTCAGCTTAGTCTCTATTTCAGAGGTCCCCACAGTGGAATGAACATCCTACTATTTCAGCATGTTTTACACAGCAAGTGCTCTTCCAGCTGCAACCCAATACTGGGAAACACCCATACACACTCATTCACACATACACTATGGCCAATTTAGTTCATCAATTCCCCTATAGGCATGTGTTTGGACTGTGGGGAAACCGAAGCACCCAGAGGAAACCCACGCCAACTTGGGGAGACCATGCAAATTCCCACTTATAATAGTAACATTTCCTGTGAAACACGAGCAAAACAAATTTGTTATTCAATTATAAACCCCTATATTAAAAAAAGACTGAAATATATCAAGTACATGATCAAATACCCTAATAATAATATCAAAATAACCAAATAAATTTGAATAATAATTGCATCATTATCCTTTTAAGATACCAAAACTTGATGAATTTATTTTCTTCTTGTTGAACACAAAATAATATATTTTAAAATGATGTTTTATTCATCCATTCAGTAATTCATCTTCCTTTGGCCTAGTCCCTTTATTCATCAAGAATCACCACAGCGGAATGAACCGACAACTTATCCGGCATACGTTTTATACAGCGGAAGCCCTTATAGGTCTATTAGAAAACATCCACACTCATTCACACACACACACACACACACACACACACGCACACACACACACGTTTGTTTTTGTGAAAAGTGGGGACATTACATAGGTTTCCATTCATTTTATACTGTCCAAACCGTATATTGTATTGACCTCGCCCTACAACACCCCTAAACCCAACCATCACAGGAGACTGTGTGCAGCTTTACTCTCTGATTAAACTCATCCTGTGGGATTTATAAACATTTTGAGAAATGAGGACGTCACCAATGTCCTCACATTTCACCTCCTTTTTGTAATACCTGTGTCATACCCATGTCATTATACAGATTTGTGTCCTGATATGTCACAAAAACATGTACACACACACACACACACACACACACACACACACACACACACACACACACACACACACACACAAACACACACTCACACAGCAGGTAAACATGCAAGCTCTCCGTTTGGCATTTCAGTCAAAGGCCTTGCTGTTTGAATGAGGACAGGCAAAACAACTGAGAAACATGTCCAGCGCTAGTAAGGCCGTTCAGATGAGTGAGGAAAACATTAGCATTAGCATGGAGCTGACAGAGGACTGAATCTGCCTGTTTAATGTGTTCTCAATGAGATAAAAAAGGCCAGATCCCATTCAATGGACCATATAAAAGTGGTGCGTGTCATTTCTTGGTAACACTTAACAGAAAACTCATATTTTTTTGTTAATAACTAACAATGAACACACCTGTTATAGCATTTATTAATCTTAGTTAGTTATTAAAAAACGCCATTGTTAAACCATATTATCTCAGGTCTGGAAATAATAATAATAATAGCAAATACACAATATATATTTTAGGCATGTCATTCAAATCAAAACGATCACATTTTAGTATTTTGCTAGCATGTTTCTATCATGTTTTGGGTATATGCTAACACATTCTGCTGCTAGCAAGCGGTATCAGACATATTAAGTTTCTGTTTTTATCACTTGTTAACATGTTTGAATATGTTAACTGCATGTTTTAACATTGCTGTTTTAAGTTTTTTTTAAGGACATCTCTTCTATCATAAACGGCTTACTTGCTACGTTTCTAATGATTTAACACATTGCTTGTTTACCATTTTGGGAAACTGTTTTGGCAAGTTGCTAGGATGTTAAGACATTTCTAACATGTTTTAGCAGTTCGCTACCAGCATAGTGCTACAGTATGTTCTTTAGACATTTCTAGACATGTTTTAGCAAATCGCTTCTTTATTTTAACATGTTTTAGCATGTTGCAAACATGTTTTAACAAATGGCTACCGTGTTTCAATGTGCTTATAACCTGTTTTAGCATGTTGCTAGGTTATTTAGACCATTCTAACATGTTTTAGCAAATTGCAACCCCGACTTCTCTATTTAATGATTTACTAATAATAATAACAAATGCACAATATAAATTTTAGGCATGTCATTCAAATCAAAACGATCACATTTTAGTGTTTTGTTAGCATGTTTCTATCATGTTTTGGTTATATGCTAACACATTCTGCTGCTAGCAAGCCGTGTCAGACATATTAAGTTTTTGTTTTTATCACTTGTTAACATGTTTGAATATGTTAACTGCATGTTTTAACATTGCTGTTTTAAGTTTTTTTAAGGACATCTCTTCTATCATAAACGGCTAACATGCTACGTTTCTAATGATTTAACACATTGCTTACATGTTTACCATTTTGGGAAACTGTTTTGGCAAGTTGCTAGGATGTTAAGACATTTCTAACATGTTTTAGCAGTTCGCTACCAGCATAGTGCTACAGTATGTTCTTTAGACATTTCTAGACATGTTTTAGCAAATCGCTTCTTTATTTTAATGTTTTAGCATGTTGCAAACATGTTTTAACAAATGGCTACCATGTTTCAATGTGCTTATAACCTGTTTTAGCATGTTGCTAGGTTATTTAGACCAAAACATGTTTTGCAAACTGCTACCCTGATTTAACATGTTTGTAACAAGCATACTGATAGGATCTTTAGACATTTGTTGACATGTTTTAGCAAATCACTTCCCATTTTAACATGGTTTAACTGTTTTAGCATGTTCAAACATGTCCTAATTACTATTATGTTTTAGCATGTTGCTAGGTTATATAGACAATTCTAACATTTTTAAGCAAACTGCTACCCAGATTTAGCATGTTTGTAATCAGCATACTGCTAGGATTCTTAGACATTTCTAGATATGGTTTAGCAAATCGCTTCTCAATTTTAATATGTTTTAAAAACTGTTTTACCATTTTGCAAACATGTTAACAAATTGCTAACATGTTTTAGCAAACTGCTACCCAGATTTGACATGTTTTAAACCAGCACACAGCTAGGATATTTAGACATTTCTAAACATGTTTTAGCAAACCACTAAACATGTTCTATTTTGACATGTTTTTAAACTGTTTTAGCATGTTGCAAACACGTTAAGAAATTTGTACAATATTTCAATGTACTGATAACCTGTTTTAGCATGTTGCTAGGTTATTTAGACGATCCTTACACGTTTTAGCAAACTGCTACCCTGATTTAGCATGTTTGTAACCAGCATACTACTAGGATCTTAAGACATTTCTAGACATGTTTTAGCAAATTGCTAACATGTTAACACAATGAATTGCATGCATTAACATGTTAACGTTTTACATGTCTAATGTTTTAGATCAATGCTAATGTTTTTAGCACACTAATGATAAGATGATTTAACACTTAAGCATGTTTTAAATGTCAACTAGTTTTTAAAAGCATGTTTTAATATGTTTGTAACATGCTAGCATGTTTTAAGCATGTCTTCTAAAAACAAAAATTAAGTTCAAAAATAAGTCTATATTGACATTAAATAAGATTAATAAATGCTTCACAAGTAATTTTCATTGTTAACAGTTCACGTTAACCTAATTTGTACACATTTCTTAAATAGCCATTAATTTTCCTATCCTCGATTAACATATAGAGTCAATGGTAAGAGTTATTTGTATGTTGATTTCCCTGAAAAGTGTCACACCATGGCTTTCCCCATGGTTGAAAATGGCACACTTCAGCTTTAAAAATCATCTGTATGAGTGCAAAGTCTCCAAATAACGTTGTGATAAAGAGGAAAATAATGTGATCTCACAGTTATCGGCACAAATGATAAGGAACCCCAGTCTCGGGTTGTTTTTATATCAGAAAATACACCTGTACAGTTAAACTTTTATCCAGACACACCAGTGCAAACCCTCAAGCACAGCGAATTCCAGAAACTAGAACGAGGAAGATTTAAAACCACTGATTCAGAATCAATTCATTAAGTCTAAAGGGGATTAAATTAGTATTCACAATCACAAATGACTTAGTGATTCAGCATCCTGTTCTGTTTATCACAATGCCATTTGGAAACTGAATCAAATTTGACTTGCATAAGCTGAAATAACACTTGATTCCATACTGTATATCGGTATACTGTAATGGGGAGAGATTGTAAATAATTGTAAAGAAAATACAGATGCTCTAGTAGTCAAAGGTTTGGGCACATCAATGCTTATTCACTATGGTAAAATAAGACTGAAATTATATAATCAAATGAATGCAGTAAATCAGTATTATTGTCAAATTTTATTGTACTTTAAAATAGATGTTCTGTATCTGAATAGACTTTAAAATGTAATTAACTCCTGTGATGAAATGTGATGATTTCTTTAGCATTGAATAAACGTAAATATGTATATATATGTATATATATATATATATATATATATATATATATATATATATATATATATATATATATATATATATATATATATATATATATATATGTATATATATATATATATATATATATATATATATATATATATATATATGGATATGATATTCAACTTCTCCATCTGTATAAAAAATGAACAACTACTTTGTTTATATTCTTCTTTTCGTCATCTTTCCTGTTTTGTATACAGTCATTTTGTTCTAATTACTATCATTTATGTCTTAAACTATCTGGGTAGTGCAAAAAACTCTCAATAATAAAGAAAAAAATCATATTTGATCTTCTGTAAAATAATCACTAACCTCATAAGATGCTTTTTATTCACTACCTGCTCCAAAAGATTTAACATTTGTCAACTAAACAACAATCAATTAATAGTGAAGGAGTTTTTTTTGAGCATTGAATGTGTCCAAATATTTGAGGATCAATGCATATCAAACACAGTTTATAAAAACGTCCCAATATAGTACAAAACATCATGGTTTTCCATCCTCTGGCTCTGTGGCACGAGAAATGAGGCAAAACAGAACCATCACACACACAACCAAACACACATTGGTTTTTGTGGTTTATGAGAACATTCCATAGGCGTAAAGCATTGTATACAGTAAAAGAGAAACCCTACCCCTACACACAACCCCCACAGCAAACACGTGGGAAATTCTAAATGTAAAAAACCAAGTATGAATTTGAACTGTTTGCATTATGAGGACATGTCATATTAATATCATTATACACATTTGTGTTCTAATAAACCCCCAAAACCACGTGCTACACACACAAAATTTGTTTTGGTGGGTTATGAGGACTCTCCACAGGTGTATAAACAATTTAATGTATGGCCCTACCCCTAAACCCAACCCTCACAGGAAACCCGTGGCAAATTTTGAATGCGAAAAGACCACATGATTACCAAGTATGATTTCTAACAGTTTTGCATTACGAGGACATGTCCTCATAAATTACATGAATGTTGTAATACTAAAATCATAAACACATTAGTGTCCTTGTAAACTACAAAAACCTGTACACACATACACCTCAACATTTACAAACTGTAAAAGCGATTAGGTGACAAGTAAAAAAGAGAGTAAACTCATCATTATTAAGTAGTATTACTAAGTAAACAAACACAAAAGTACGTGCATACGTCTAAAAGTCAATGGGTTTACTGACTTTGTAAAAGTAAAATCAAGTTGTTGCTTTTAAGGTGACTGGTTAACTCAATTTTAAGTAATTAAGAAATTAATTACTTTTAACAGTGTAGGTCAAACCCATGCCACTATATGATATTTTGTCCTTGTAAACCACCACAACCAGTATACACACACATTGGTTTTGGTGGTGTACAAGGACTTTCACTAGGTGTAATGTTTTTCATACTGTAAAAACACTTAATATTTGGCCCTACCACTACACCCAACCCTCAAAGAGAACCTGTGGCAAATTTCGAATGGGAACACAAGCCATGTCCTCATAAATCACCTCAATGTAGTAATACTTACATTGTATTCATATTTGTGTCCTCATAAACCACCAAAACTAGTAGACAAACACACACACACCTACACCTCAACATAATAGGTGATACCCATGTCATTAATTAAATGTGTGCTCTCAAAAACTACAAAAACCATTACACACACGTCGATTTTGGTGGTTTACAAGGACTCTCCAAAGGTGTTATGTATTTCATCCTGTATAAAAACACTTACTGTATGGCCCAACCACTAAACCAAACCCTCAAATGAAATATGCAGCACATTTTGAATGTGAAAAGACAACATTAAGTAAGATGTTTAACAGTTTCACATAATGAGGACACAGGGTATGTCCTCATAACCCAACAAAAACCATTACACACTTGTTTTGGTGGTTTTACAAGGATTCTCTATAGGTGGAATGTATATCATACTGTAAAAACACCTAAAATATGGCCTGACCACAACACCCAACCCTCAAAGGAAACCTGTGGCAAATTTTGAATGTGAACAAAAGCCATGTCCTCATAAATCACCTCAATGTTGTAATACTAGCATCGTATACACATATGTGTCCACATATACCACCAAAACCAGTACACACACACACACACACACACACACACCTTAACATTTTAGGTCATACCCATATCATAATATAAAAGTGTGTTCTCAAAAACCACCAAAACCAGTACACACACACACGTTGATTTTGATGGTTTACAAGGACTCTCCATAGGTGTAATGTATTTATACTGTAAAAAAAAACACTTACTATATGCGTACCCTCAAATGAAATATGCGGCACATTTTGAATGTGAAAAGACCACGTTAAGTATGATGTTTAACAGTTTCGCTTTATAAGGACACAAGCCATGTCCTCATAATCCAACAAAACCAACACACACACACACCTCAACATTGTAGGTCATACCCATGTCATTATACAAATGTGTGTTTTCAAAAACCAACCAAAACCAGCACACACACCCACACACACGTACGCACACACAAATCTCTCATCCCATAAGCAGTGAGAAAGGCTGTTCTCTAATTTACGAAGCAATAACGAACCTATTTAACGAGACATGAGACGCTCTGACTGGGTTGCCAGTTAATTGACCCCCTGCAGGAGGGATCGGACCATCAACAGATGCGGCAGCTGCGCTCAAACAGCTGAAAACTGCTGAAAACGCAGCAGCAGAGACGCGTGCAGAGCTCCTGGACCCGCGGCTCGGCCTCAGAGGATCGTGCAGAAGAACTTCTTCTCCCGGAACGGGTTTTCTGACGCCGGCACTGGCACGATGAGCGGGTCCTCTCGTATATGAGCGTCACAGTACGCCATCAGGTCCGCTGCTGCCTTCGACACCTGGACACACACAGATGCACAAATATCAGACAATTCGTTTGGTAAAAACGGCGGATTATTATCACGGTTAAGATCTATATGGGAATATGCTGACAATTTAATCAATTTATTTGGTCAATAAAAGCATCGTTTTCATTTTGTTCATTTATAATCAGAGGTGTAAAGTAATACATTACAGATACTCAAACTACTGTATTGAGTGGTTTTTCCTCAGGAATTGTAATTTACTAAGTAGTTTTATAAATGTGTACTTTTACTTTCCCTTGAGTAAAATATCTGTACTTTTGCTCCACTACAGTACTTCAACCTGCAGTCACTACTTTATTTTTGTTTATGGGGATTAGAAGCAGTCCTGAAATTCCTGTCCGGTCACATAAACTACCTCAAGACATGAGCGATTTATAATTGCAGCAAACTGTTTGGAAGCATTAAAAGTGTCCAAGAAGATGTCCATAAATCTTTACAGGCATTGACCCAGAGACTGTTTAGATCAGTGGTGGGCAAACTTTTTAGACCCGAGGTCCACATTAAGTTTTGCAAACCAAGTGAAGGGCCACATGTCAAATTCTTTAAAAAATAACTTTTATTTAAAGTGGCAGTGTGCATGAAGCATGTAATATTGGGCAGAAACATGACACATTAACACAAAACTTAATGATTATTTTTTATATTATTACGTCAAATTTACACTGCTGTTTTTATTTACTTATCAATCATTATAAAACAATAAAATAATCCCTTAGTAAAATAACCCCTAGTGTTGGGGACACCGGGTGGTAAGGGTAGTGTCGGGGACACCGCCCTCTCTATTCTACCGCACTAGACGCGGACATAACTGAGGGCGCGGGTGGTTAGGGTAAAGTCGGGGACACCGCCCTCTCTATTCTACCGCACTAGACGCGGATATAACTGAGGGCGCAGGTGGTGAGGGTAGTGTTGGGGACGCGGCCCTCTCTATTCTACCGCACTAGACCCGGACATAACTGAGGGCGCGGGTGGTAAGGGTAGTGTCGGGGACACCGCCCTTCCTATTCTACCGCACTAGACGCGGACATAACTGAGGGTGCGGGTGGTGAGGGTAGTGTCAGGGACACCGCCCTTCCTATTCTACCGCACTAGACGTGGACATAACTGAGGGCGCGAGTGGTGAGGGTAGTGTCGGGGACGCCGCTCTCTCTATTCTGCCACCTTAGAAGCGGATATATCTGAGGGCGCAAGTGGTGAGGGTAGTGTCGGGGACGCCACCCTCTCTATTCTGCCACCTTAGAAGCGGATATATCTGAGGGCGCAAGTGGTGAGGGTAGTGTCGGGGACGCCACCCTCTCTATTCTGCCACCTTAAAAGCGGATATAACTGAGGGCGCGAGTGGTGAGGGTAGTGTCGGGGACGCAGCCCTCTTTATTCTGCCACCTTAAAAGCGGATATAACTGAGGGTGCGGGTGGTGAGGGTAGTGTCGGGGACGCCGCCCTCTCTATTCTGCCACCTTAAAAGCGGACATTAATGAGGGCGCAAGTGGTAAGGGTAGTGTTGGGGTCGCCGCCCTCTTTATTCTACCGCACTAGATGCAGATATAACTGAGGGCGCGGGTGGTGAGGGTTGTGTCGGGGACGCCGCCCTCTCTATTCTGCCACCTTAGAAGCAGGTATAACTATTTATATATCATTTATTACATTTGACCAGTGATCAACGCTTTTATAATTATTATTTGTAATAGTAAACAGTTAATTGAACTGTAAAAAATTCTGTATTATCATTATTATTATTATTATTATTACTATTATTATTATTTAGTAGTAGTAGTATTACAAATTAATTAAAATATAAATAATAAAAATACTAATAATAATTATATATTTTTAATTAAACAATAATGATGAATATTGTAAATGTTTATTAAAATATGAAATATAAAAGCAACAAAATAATAATTATATATAATAAAAATACAATAAATAAATATAATATTTTATTATTTATAATAATAGTAATAATAGGCAGTGCAGTGGGTAGCGCTGTCGCCTCACAGCAAGAAGGTTTCTGGTTCAAGTCTCAGTTGGCATTGGAGTTTGCATGTTCTCCCCGTGTTGGCATGGGTTTCCTCAGGGTGCTCCAGTTTCCCCCACAGTTCAAACACATGCGCTATAGGTGAACTGGGTAAGCTAAACTAACCCTAGTGTATGAGTGTGTGTGAATGAGAGTGTATGGATGTTTCCCAGTGATGGGTTGCAGCTGGATGGGCATCCGCTGTGTAAAACATATGCTGGATAAGTTGGCGGTTCATTCCGCTGTGGTGACTCATGATTAATAAACGGATTAAGCTGAAAAGAAAATGAATGAATGAATTAATGAATGAAAATAATAATAATAATAAACAATAATTTTACTATTTTGTATTCATCCCAAACCTGTAAATGGTAATGTATCACAGTTTGCACAATTAATGATTAATGATTTAATTAAAATAAAGTAAACAAAAAAAAAGCAGCACAACTGCTATCAATCATAATAATAATCAGAAATGCATCTCAAAGGATCATGTGACAATCAAGACTGCAGTAATGTGAAAAATTCAGCCTTAAATCACAAGAATAAATGACATTTGGAAACTTATTCCACTATAAAATGCTTATTTGAAACTGCATGAATATTTGACCTTTTGCGTGCAGCAGTGTTTGTCCAAATGAAGCGTTAATGCAAGAGCAAGATGAAGGTGAACAGATCAAACGGCTGTGTTTTTGGGTCAAAGTGAAAGCACAGGTCTGCATGAGGAGGATATACTGATTCCTTTGGGAGCTGTGTGTGTTTTCTGGAGTCATCAGAGCACATGAATGTAGCACTACACACACACGCTTACTCACACACTTATAAACAGTGTGTGTTTTCTGCCCACTTTACTCCACTGATCCGTCATCATATGATGCTCTGACCTCTGCGTGACCTCTGCGTGAACTCTCCATCTTAGCCAGTGTTAATTGACCTCCACGTAAGGTTCTGCCGACAGAATCCAAGCTTTCACCTCTCTCATAGATCATAATTCAGAGTGCAAAATCCCCTTAATAAAAAAGTACAAATAGAGAATAATAAAATAACATAAGAAATATAAATAATTTAAAGAAATAAAACAGAACAAAAAATATAATTTGATCTTAAAAATCAGATCATGTTTTCACTCATAATGACTTATAATAACAGTAATAATAATTATTATAAATAATAATAATAATAATAATAATAATAATAATATTAATAATCATTATTATTGTTAATATTGTTTTTATATTTAATATTTTAATCATTATAAATAATTATCTTTATTCCTAAATGCAAAATAACAATAAAATAATAATAATAATAATACACACCTGGGCCCTCTCAGAAAGGCAAAGAATCTCAGGAGTTATCGAACACGTAGACTTATGTAGATTACACTCACTTGGAAGACATAGGAAGCACAGGAGACTCAGGAACGACATGGGGTGTAGACAACGCATAACCAAGAATACCGGACAATGGTAAACACGGAGATATCAATACACATGACATGATGGAACTAATGAATCACTAACAGGGGTGAGACACAGGTGGAACTAATGAACATTAAGAAACAGCGGGAAACAGAACAAAGGAGCACATGGGAAAGGTCATATGACCAAAACATATGCATAACACAGGACCTGACAACAATGTTATTATTGCTTTTATATTTAATATTTCTAAACATAATAAACAATCATTATTTTTAAATAAACAACAACAACAACAATAATGATAATAATAATAATAAATGTATTATTATTATTATGTAATAATTATTATTATTTTAAATAATGCTTATATATTTAATATTTAAAAACAATCAACAATATTTTTTCTTGATTCTATAATAATAATAATAATAATAATAATAATAATAATGCTTAATATTATTAGTATTACAGTTAATATTGCTTTTATAATAATTTAACAAATAATTATCATTATTCTTAACTTTATAATACAATAATAATATAATAAAAATACTTAATAGTATTGATATTATTGCTTCCATATTTGATATTTTAAACAATATAAGGAGGAGATTATTGATTATTCTTAAATCAATAATAATGATATTAATAATAATAAAAATTATTATAATAGTTATAAATTTTATTTTTATAATCATCATTTGTCATTATTATTGTTAAAATTGCTTTTATATTTAATATTTTAACCATTATAAATATTTATCATGTTTCTTAAATCTATAATAATAATAATAATAATAATAATAATAATAATGTAAATAATAATTAATATTATTAGTGTTATTGCTTCTAAATTTAATATTTAATTTATTTGAAAATAATCATTCTTTAATCAATAATAATAACAATACATTTTATTATTATAATTATTGTTATAATTTTATTCATTCATTCATTTTCTTGTCGGCTTAGTCCCTTTATTAATCCGGGGTCGCCAAAGCGGAATGAACCGCCAACTTATCCAGCACATTTTTAAGCACTGGATGCCCTTCCAGCTGCAACCCATCTCTAGGAAATTATAATTTTATCATTATTACTATTATTTATGCTAATATTGCTTTTATATTTAATATTTTAAATATGATAAATAATTAACATTTTTATAATATATTAATGTTTTTATTTATTTATTAATATATCATAATAATAATAGTAATAATGATAATAAATATTATTAGTATTGTTGCTTCTGTATTTAATATTTTAAACAGTATTATATTTCAAAACTACTACTACTACTTCTTCTACTACTAATAATAATAAATATTATTATTTTTTCTTCTATATTTCAAATTTTAAACATTATTTTTCCTAAATCAATAATATTAATAAGAATATTAATAATAAATATTATTGAAATTATTGCTTCTATATTTAAAATTTTAAACCTTATAAATAGTTATTATTCTTAAATCAATAAAAAAATAACAACAATAAAATAATAATACACGAGTGGAAAAATACTGAGCTAT